TGGAGTTAGAAATACTTCAACGAAGGCATCGAGAAGAATTAGAACGTTTTCAACAACAACAACTACAATTATTAATTCAACAACAACAACAAGCAAGTGCGTTACACCACCAACATCATCCACTTCTTTATCACGCAGTGGCTACCAATGCTGCAGCAGGTCAGTTATCCCATAATAAGAATTTAAATTAATATACAAAATTACAGTTTGTTGCAATATATATGTAAATATATATCTTTATATATTCTACATATTATAAGCTCATATAATTTATACAAGCATATAAGTATGTTTAAGAAAAAAACAAGATGATTTAAGGTATTATTTATAGTAAGTTTTTAATATAAATCCTGAACACACACACACAAAATATTTACTTAAACTTTTCATTAGATAATTCTTTGTACTATCATTTTTTTAAAACAGGATATATCTATTTATGTAAATATAGGACAAGGAAGAATACCAGGTGTAGATGATCATTTAACATTTAGCACAGCCCCACAAACTCCATTGCAAAAAGGCATCAGCAATTGTCCAGATACCGACGAAACATTAAGGTTAGCCATGCAGAAGCTTAAACAAACTCCACTTCATCTTCAACAGCAACAAACAGCAGCCAGCATACAGCATGCTTATGTTATTCCAATTCCAGTAGTGCCTTCAGAAAGTATGCAGAATATTTCTGCGCAACAGAATATTAACTATTCAAGCGAAACCTCTGATATATCTGATTCAACAAATAATCCTGTGATTATAAATTCGAGTCAATGTCAGTTTACACCAATGATACCAGATGCAACAAACGTTACTTCTGCGAGTGGAGCTTTAGTTGCACCAACATCAACATCAGGTTCTATTGGAAGTGGAGCATATGTTCAATATCACGAGGGTCCTTCGGTAGCAAACTTTCAAACATTCAGTTGCACGTCGCATGCTGGCTTCATTTTGCCAGCTGGATATCGTCTTATATATGCGCCTACTGGGACCCCTCAGTCTCAACCAGCAACACCTGCCACTCCACAAATAGGAAGCTCGCACGATGGTACGCCTCCTACAGAAACCCAGCATTGTTCTGAAAATGTAACTACTCTTACTCAAGCAGATCAATAACGCAATACACAATTCAAAATATTCTATACTTTCCAGTCAATTTTTCCACATAATACATTCTTTATTTAATGTTGAATATTACTATAAAATTATGTATTATTATAATTATCTTTTAATATGATATGCTCCAAACATGATTACATTGGTCATATATGAGGTGCACACATATGAAAGCATATATAAGATGTACAGAACAAGTTAATAATGCTATCTCATTGAAAAAATTAGTCAGTATAGAATCAGTTATTTTAAAAAAATTTAAGAAACTCTTCATTAACTGATATTATACTGACTAGCGTTTAGTTAGGCAGTTATAATGATGCCCTTCGAGCTTGATGTGTTATGACATTTACGTATAAATGCATAGAAGATATTCTTGTTACCCGCGCATCAGCAAAACATTAATATTTGGTATGTGCCTCGCGATTGAAGCAAGATTGAAATTAAATATTTCAAGGATATTTTGAACTGGCGTAATAAGTTTCTGAATGGTAATTCAAAAGCTGGGGATAGAGGCCTTTACGTTGTATAACTGTGCTTCGATATTAAAAGCAAATCTTCCATTATTGGAATGCTTAAAGGACCTTAAATGCTCTCAATCTTTTAAATGGCACAGTCCATATTAGTACAGGCCTCAGCTAGTCTTACGATCGAAATGGCATCTAGCCATTCTGCTCGATTATATGTATAACTGTTAATGTATACTGAATGCTTCAGAGAAGGGAATGAGAAAAAGCAAGAGAGGAAGAGAGAGAGAGAGAGAGAGAGAGAGAGAGAGAGAATATAAGATATAGAGAGAAAGTGAAGTGAGGAAGAGAGAACGTATGTTTACTTATGTGTGTGTGATGTGTGAATGTGTCAAATAATGGAGATAAACAGAGAAAAAATATGATTAATATAGTCACTGTTATGCTTTAATGTATTTCTAGCGATTTTACCTATTTCAATTAAAGAAAAAGTGATGTGTTACTAGTTAGCAATCCTATATATCTTATCTATTTTTGAGTACTATTACCATCATTTTACAATTAAATACAATTGTGTTTAATACTTTTTACTTTATATATTTTATTTTAAAGAATTTTATTAATAATAAGAGAAAAATTTGAAAAATTATACAATCAGGGAATTACATTTCAGGCAATTCAGTGACAGATGAAAGATCATAAAAAAAATTCATGAAACTCTTCCAAATTTGTTTTGCAATATAAAGACAAAGAATTTTTATTTTAAATTTCTTCATGATTTCTTATTTGAAATGTCTATAAACACTACTGCTTATAAGATAAATTGCAAGATTATAGTTCTGTTTGCTAAACTATGCATATAATGTTATTTTTATAATCCATCATTTTTTAATAATTTTTCATTGCTTTAAACAATTTCTCGTCATGCATTGCTTTGCAATAATATATGCTTACTGAAATTTATTACAAAATTTAAAAATGAGTAATAAGCACATGTGATGTATTTGATACTTCTGTATGATGCAGAAATAATATTGAAATCATATGCTGTATAATTATAAGAACTTTTTAAATAATCATATCAATTGCTTGAGAATGTCAAAAATGCTATCGTTACTCACTTTTTTATTTTGTTCTCATGCACTCTCATGTTTTTTACTTTCAATTAATGGTAATTTTGTTACCTTATTCCTTTTGTACACCAAAATATATGTTTTTTAAAAATAATTTCTTGGTGACGGGATCTTTAATTATTTAATAATTAAATTGCTTTTAATTAGATCGTTTCTCTGTTTTGTGCATCTTACGTTAAAAATCTTTGGTGACATGGTTTAACAAATATTAAAATTAATATTTCAATTTGAAATTTATTTTTAATCTAACAGTTCACTAAGATCGGGAAATATAATTTATAATCATTTTTTCGAATGTTTTATCAAAGAAGATATAACATTCAAATTATAATTCGATATATCTGATATGATAAACTATATTTCTGTATAAAATCATAAGTTTATAAGACTTTTTATGAAAGAATCTTTTGCCATTTTACCAAAGACGCCTATCATGAATATTATTAGGCAATATATTATATACTAATTTTGAATTCATAGTAAATACACTAGTCAACAAGATTTTTAATTTGATTGAAATAATAATTTCATATTTTAAAAATCTTAGCAAAATTATTTTAAGAATTTCTCTATTTAACAGATCGAAGATTAAAGTGTAAACATTGCTTTCAATTTTAATTTGGAATGCAGTCTCTTATTATGGAAACAATCTATTATATAATTTTTCTATTCAATAGACATTGTTACATAATTGATACTATTTTGTTTGAAAAGTGTGAATGTAATTATATAATATGGAGTGTGTGCCAAAGTGTCATTTTAAAAGAAAATATTAACTTCATATGAATTGTATTGACAATTATTAAGTGTAGTTAAATATTCATTCGATTTGCCTTTAATTTTTATTTCTTTTTTTGTTGCTATTTCTTTTAATATTTCAATATTGATTTTACAAAATATTCTATTAAAGAATATAAATAATATGTTTATATACTTTTAAATTTCTTAACACGAGAAAAACAGCCTACACACGCGATTAAAATAATTTCTTATATTTATAAAATCGTATTTTCATATTTAGAAAATGCATTAGACCTATACCTCAGAAATAATAAGGATGGAAAATATTGTTGACTAGTGCTTCTTTCTAGTAGAATAATAGTAATGTGGTATTGGACTTAATGGAATTGAGCTTGATAAAGGATGAAATTAGGTATTTCAAAATAATTTTCAGAGACTGCCTGCAAAAATGAATCAAGTAATAGTAAATATTTTCTTACATTCTGCAATTTACATATAATACTATGTGAATAATAATATTCCGACTGAGTTCAGTTTCTCAAATTTTTGAGCTAGACCTATAATAAGACAAAGGAGTGAGACATTTATTAATATAGAAGATAATTTTTAAATATACAAGAAAATAATGAAATTTCAAAAAATTTCATTTTTTTGTTGTTTCATAGAAGTATTTTATTCGAATATTGGAGAATTTTAATAATTTTAATTCAATATCAATTTAAAAAATTGTTCGATATCAATCATTGAAAAGTTAGCATATTTTATGTTTATTATCAAATTTGTGTATAAATTTTAGTATATTAATAATTTTTGTCAATCACATCGCCGAACATTAAATTTTAAAAAGATTTTGATTTATCAATAAATATTTGAAAATACAGTTGTGCATAAGCAGGTATATACAAAATTTAACTTGATTTATTCACATTACTATAAGAGATATTAATAACTTTCTTATTTGGATTGAATATTGCTAGCTTTGCCTGTAGTCCTATACCACAAAACCTGCTTTTGCTTAAATTATTGATTATTAACTTTAAAGAAAATAAAGAATTTATATATAAAAAGGAGGTATGATACATTAAAGTGGTATTGGAGAAGTGTTCATGTATCATTCACACGTGTCATCTACATTTTACATATGGCACTTATTGCTTTTTCCTTACTTGTTTAAGCCTACTCAGAAGTAAACAAGTTTTTAAGGAAAATAAAACTATATGATTTTTTTGTGCTAACTAGTATATAAATTCTTTCTAGTATATGAACTTAAGAAACAATTTTTAGAATTATGTTTCTCAGAATTTCAAGAATAGAAACATAAAGACTGATTAGGTAAAACAAGAATCAGTAAGCAAATGAGTAAAAAAAACACATGAGAAATCGGTGTTGAAAATGTTTTCATTTCTGCTAGTTCTTTATTTCATTTATACACATACATGTGTATATTTATTGGACTGTAATAATATTACACAAGATTAGAGTATACATTTCAAAACTCAAAAAATTAGTAGTTAGTAATCTCTTGATATAAGAAATACTGATTCTCTTCCGTGAAAAACAGGCGGAACTACTTCCGTTTATATTATAGTTTATGGTATTAGCGTAATGCATTGTAGATCTGCGGAGAAGTAATGAACATATTCATTAATCCATGAGTGAACATTATTTTTATGTTTAGAATGCATAATTCTTAGAAATATAAAAACTGAACTGATGAATGTGAATATTGAATTACATATAATTGACAGAATAAGAATTGCAACAAGTACATTTTTCAATTGAATACAGTTTAAACTTATGTAAATTTAATTTCAGTGACATTACATTGAGTTTTACATGTTGTTCTTAAGTGAGGAGATAAACCAAAAATACATAAAAGTTATGAGTCCAAAAAGAATGAGGAATGTGAGAACACATGTAAAAAAATATCATAAATGAAAAATATTAAAGCGAAATGTAGAAAAATACACAGTGTGAAAATGTGTTTTTAAATATTTCCTTACTCTTTTTGAAAGTTCCAGACTTCTGCAAATTAGATGAGAAATACTTATCATTATTCATCTATGTTATATGTTGATATCAATTTTTATAAATCTTTGTTCTAAACACATTTCAAAATTCCCAATCTTGAAAATGTGTAAGTAATGACCCTTTTTGTCATATTTATCTCTTACTTGTGATAAAACAGTATGATATATTAAAAAATATTGCAATATTTTAATACTTTTACATTTTAAAAGAGCTTCTTACATATTACTCTCATTTTAGTATATCTGAAAACGCATTTTGAATTATTTAAGAAAATAAATAAATAAGTTATAATAACTTTATTTTACAATTAGATCATAATATTTAACTGAATATAGAAGGTATAGAACAAACAAGCTTTTGTTTCTTTAAGAAAGCTGTAGCAAATTTCATCGATTGCAATTTATACTTTCTTTTTATTTATAGTTTATAGTATTACAAAATCTATATTAAAGAAAAAAAAACAATGTGATTTAGTTCATATGTTCTTTACTGATATATAATGTTGATATTTTGAAATTATAACCTATGACAAAATTAAAAATGCGTCATTAATTTCATCAATATTATTCATCTATTTTTAATTTGTTAATATAGTATATATTTAATCATTAGTAATTACAAATCATATTATGTAACGTGTGGTAATAGTTTAATATGCTATTCAATTCTTGATATTACTTTAAATTTATAACAAAAACAACTGACAATTATTTTTATTTTATTGCATTCCTATTGATTTGATCCATGTCTGTTTTTATTAGATGCTCATAATGTTTGTATTATAATAAAGAAAATATAGAAAAAAGAAATAGTTATTAAAATATTATAAGTGCATTCTTTTGCACATATATGGTAAATAAAAACAATATTTATGTGCTAAAGGATCAAAGTCAAAGCAGTTGTAACCTTCACGAAGGACAACTAAATAAATAAATAAATAAAGAAACTGATTATTAAAGAGACTTTTTAACGCTTTCTAATATATTAAATATCTACAGTTAGTATTATTTCAAAGATTAATATTTCAATAATATAAAATAATTAGGCAGTTAACATTATATAATTTTTAATATTTTCTTGACATTTCTTTATATATATATATATATATATATATATATATATAAACTCAATACGATGCTCGTCTTAAGCATTTCTAATCTAGACTCCTGTGTAGTTTTAAATATTTCTTATATCCTGCAATTTAATGTAGTAATATGTCATTATTTGTACATTGCAATATGCTATTAATCAATATATATTCATTTCCCATGTAAATACAATCAAACGAACTGTTTTAGAATAATAAAGTTGTTGAATAAAAACAAAAAATATATGTAAATAATGATTAATATAATAATAAAAAAATTCCGTTAAAAATGTTTATAATATTACTTAACACTTAAACATAACATACACACGACACGCATTCTCTCATACTTATTCTAAATATATTTATATTCTTATTGCTTACCCATGAATTTTATTAAAATATATTTCCCATGATCACAAAGATTTAAATTGATTTCGTCGTCTTGCATAGGCTCCGATGCAAGCAAAAAATCCCATAATTCCAATAATAAGACCCAAAATTAATGCTAATGTATCACCAAAATCAAAACTACCTGATGCTGAAGTTAAGTGAAACAGCGCAAATAGCGAAAGTAAAAATGGCCACATGTTTTTTAATAAAATCTATATCGTAGGACGGCAAGTAAAATAATAACTTTCTTTATTTTTTACGAAAGAACGATTAATGACGTAGTTTTATATTCGTTGACAAACCATGATATACGCGCGATAAGAGTACTTCTACAGCATTACATTCAAATAATAAAACTTATGATTAGTTTTGTATTTAACTTACTAAATAAATACAACGTAAATATTTCTAGGTAATTAATATATTTAATATAAATAAACAGATATTTATTAGTTTAAGTAACAATCAAGAGTGAAATACATATATATTGCATATCATTATTCCTTGAATTTACGTCATTATTATGCATAATATTATTAATACTAAATTCTATATATAATAACATGAAATAAAAAAGTATATTTCCATATATATCTAAATATTTATTCTTCACTTTTTAATTATCATTCTAATTAAATTGTTAATATTTTAATTCTATCAATAAAATATTTTTTCACTTGCATCAATAAAACAATGCATTCACCTCCTTTCATTTTATCCTTTCCTGCATTTTGATTCGCTGTCCAATTTTATCCAATAAAAACACCATTTATTTATCAACTAACAATTGTAAATTGTTATATATTATAAAAACAAAAACTACATATTATTTTATACATGAAAAATGAAATATATAAAAAATAAACAACAATATATTAATTACAAATAAAAGCTAAACAAATTTAGGAAATATCCAATGAGAATCGGCCATTAATATCGATAAGTAATAAGTCTTAAAAAAAAAATTTAGTAAAGAGTAAGAATTAATAAAGATTATTATTTTCAAAGATATAAATATATTTAAATTTTTTTATAAATTTTCTTTATGTCAAGTATAATTGATATTATTCTATGAAAAATACTAATTTTTGTCAGAATTTAATAATTTTATGATAGCAATGGAAACTTAGTTTAAGGTGGCGTCATTTATTCGACAAAGAATTTTCTAACGGAGGTAGACTGGCGCGTATCGACCGAGTAAAAATATTTTCGTATTATTAATTGTTATATTTTTGGAATTAGCGGAGATATAATAAATTTATTAGTCTAACGTTCAAATAATAGTCAATTCGTGTATTTCTTTTTCTATTCAAGAATCATCAGGTTTCATCGTATTAAGGTGAGCATTTCTTATTATTTCGTGGCCATTTTGCTATCCGTTGATAAATGCTTAGCATTTTCATACCGACAGGTGAACCACGAATTAGTTGCAGTGTATAAAATCAAAATGCGTAATCTTGTCCCGTTTTATATTTTACTCTCTTGACAATAGAATTCCCATTATGAGGGATAAAAGTTATTACATATGTTCAATCCAAAGAAAATTGTTGTCCATATTTTCTACATAAGGCCTGAGTGGTTAACAAATCATTACTTTTTTTTTAATTTATATTAAACTACAAGTGTACCATGTCTCTTATCTTATTACATTTTATCTTCATTTATTTACTAATAAAGAAATATTTTTCTTAAGTACCACAATCGATAAATAGTGTTAAATTGTAAATTGAATTTGATTTTAATTTTACACTAAAATTTTGATATATAATATGCTTTTCAAATATTTTCTTCGAATGTTTAAAACTTTTCATATAAAAATACAATAGACATTAAAAATATTTGCAAAAGTGTGTAATTTTATACTTTTATATTATATTTGATTTTGTTGTGATACTTTGATAAAATTCATTGCCTATCATTCATTAAGAGCATAAATAAAAAATTACAATTACAATAGAGAGAGAGGTTAATTTAATATATTATATTTTTTTAAAATTGTACGTTTTAAAATAAAGCTATCAATAATATTACCGATGTGATGTCTTTTTACTATATATATATTTTTAATTCTTATGAATATTTATGTTATGAAAAGTAATTGTAAAATATTGAATTGTATTTTACACATTATACATTTAAGTAACAAAAGTGTCAATTAAGTTTATGTAACAATAATAATTAAATGTAGATAATGTAACAAATATTATTTTAATATTCCATTTTACTTTAAGCTTCAAATTCTATGTTAATTTTTTATCACTGAAAGATATGTTGTGATATGTTTATATTTTCCATGCATCCTAATAACATTTGTTTATGATGTATTTGTATAAATAACCTTAATATGTATTTTTTTCATCATTTTAGCACCATCTTCCCTATTTATATAAAAGAAAATAATGGAGATAGCACCAGGATTTTTGGAAGTTATAAATATAAACGAAGATAAAAATGTATTAGAACTGGTCAAACATGTAATTTCCGAAGAGATAATATTAAAGCCCGATTACTCGGATGATTCAACAGAGACAGAAATAGAAGAAATAATAGAAATAATTGAAGAAGTAGAAGAAATGGAAGATTCATTAATAGATTATCCTAAAACTGCGGAATTATCTAAGGAAAATAGTAGCGGTGCAGAATTTGAAGAGAATTTACAGGATCAACAATGTGATAGAAATTCTGAAGTAGTCAAGATATATCAATCTGATGAAGAAAATGTAATATTTAAAGCACAGATTGATAACAATTCCAATTCCTCTTATAACAAACAACAGAAGTCGAATAATATAGTTAAATATGATGTTGATGAAGATTGGCAAGATGAAGACATTGAACATATAGAAGAAATGGATGAAGTAATGGATCATGAATCTGACTCTCAGCATCATAATTCAGAATCATCACAAAATTACAATTTTTTACATGAGAATGAACGATCTGATGGAAACCAAGGAAAAAGTTTTTCTTTAGAAAGCCATAAAACAGATATTAGAAATACCATGGAATCATTCACTACAAAAGTGGATAAATCTCGATTGAATAAAGATTATGATAATGATACGCATAGTGTCAATAGTATTGATAACAATTTCACTCATGAAGTTATTAAGAATACTGAAAATAATTTAGTATATACTGTACTTGGTTCAAGAAAACCGACTTCTACTACAAAACAGGAAGAAAAAAGAAATCTAGATGATCATTACATAAAGGTTTGGATAATTTATTCATATCATAATAAAAGGTATGGATTATTTTCATAAATGAACATTATTTCAGATGGAACAGTTAAGAGAAAATACAATTCCAGTTGAAGGGACAATTTACTATGAAGGTGATAATATGGAAAGATTGTATGTTGCTCAACCAGTTGATATAAATGAACAATATCATTATGAAGCAGTACAAATGGAACAAAATGAACAAACACAAGATACTGCAAATGAAGATAGAAATTCTGAGAATGATGCTAATCAATATCAAGAAGAAGAAATGTCTCAGGTTGAGATTAATTACATTAAAAGAAAAAAAACAATTATTGCGTAATTAATGTATACATTTTTTGATAACTCTATTTTAATGTTATAGGAACAAATCTTTTTACATGAGGATGAAGAGGGTCAGCTATATTATAAAGATGAGCATGGACAACTAAAACCAGTTTATTTAACTGAAGATGGACATTACGCTATTGCTGATAATAGTGATGATCAAGATAGTAAAGAGTCATACAATCAATTGCAGCAAAATAATAGACCTACTGAAGAAACGCCTGTGGCTTCAACAGAATTAGAACCTAAAACTACCCTTAAAAATAAAATGGTATATATTGTATCTACAAAAACGCCTTATTGAATTTATGATTTGATGAAATATTTTTTATTTTTCAGAATACTGTTTCTTCATCTTCTGCACTTCAAGATCTTGAAAATGAAGATAATACTGTAACAATTTCTTTAATAATTTCGGAAGATGAGCATGGACAAAAAAGGACTCAAGTTATAATACCTACAACAGATAACATGAAATGTGATATTTGTAATAAAAGTTTTAAAACATCTTTCCAACTTTTAAGACACAACAGGCTAAAGCATGCTCGAGAAGAAGATATTACAACAAGAAACTTTCCTTGCGATTTGTGTCCTAAAAGGTAAGCTTTATTATTTCTTGCGTTTTTATTTACTACAGATATATTATTAGCTTATGAAAGCTTGATGAACTTATTATTGTTCTTAATAATAATGTATAGGTATCCAGATCAAAATTCCTTGGCACGTCATAGAAAGACTCATACTGGTGATCGACCATTTCAATGTCTAGAATGTCATAAAAATTTCCCTACCTCTACTGCATTACGTCGACATTTAACTTTGCATAATTCACAATCTCGGCCACTTCCTTGCATTTATTGCGGTCGTCGCTTTGTAGAGAAGGCTAGCTTAATGAAACATGAACAGTCACATTTACCCAATGGTCAAAGAACACATACATGTGACATATGTCAAAAAACATTCTTACATTTAGCTGATTTAAATTTACACAAAAAAAATCATGATACTGACAAGAAGTTTGATTGCGAAGTATGTGGAAGAGAGTTTAACCGATTGAATAATTTACAAAGACATATGATGGTACATCAACAGGTAAGTAATCTTCTCTGAAACTTGTTTATATTTTTATGAAAACAATACTTGTAAGTGCTTTAAAATAATTTATTGTTTGTTTTTCTTCAAAATTTCAGCAAGGGGCAAATGAAGAAATCTTGTCTTGTGACGTATGTGGAATTACATATAAATTTATGAGCTCCTTGACGAGACATATGGTAACTACACATATGAATCCTGAAAAATTAAAAAAGCAAGCAGAAGAACAACGGAGAAAACGTGAGAATAATTATCGACGTTATTTAGCTAATAGAAAAATGTACGAAACACAGAATCCGGGAGAATACACCACGAAACGTAATTATCATCATAATGCACGTATACTTAGCGGAAATAACGATGAAATGGCTTAACTTTAATTTTTAATAGTATATTGAATATATGAATGAATACAATTTACAAATTTATTGCTATTACCAAGATGACTATATTTATTACGCACGAGTAGAACTATGAATAAATTTATTCATTCTCTGTTCATTTTGCATTTTAATCCATATCTTGAAGGCAATATTTCAGTAATAAGATCTTCATTGGAGTATTTAATTGAGGAGTTTTACTGTTTAATAACATATTGAAGATTTAATCGGCTTTTTTCATCAAGTTTGCATAAAGATACACTTGATTTTTTAGACATTTCTATTTCTGATCTTGTTTCTTCTTCCGAAGCATCACTACTTTTCTCTATTGAGAATGAATTTAACTCTGCTGATGTTATTTTTTATTTTATTGCATCAGGCTCTTTTTTCTACCGTAGGTACTTACTGTCTTTCTTTGAATGAAGTTTCAGTGACAGTGTCTTTTTTAGACAATATCTTTGCTCCCATATATCATCTATTAAAATTTCGTAAGGAACTAATTCAAATTTCGCATCAAGTCTCTAGCTTTGTCTTCGAAATAGTAAATTGGCTTCTACTTCTCTTTTTAATTTAAAATCTTTACTTAACTCAAACTCAAAATCGTATCCAGTCATTGAAATCAAATGTATCAAACTTGTGTAAAATGTTAGTTTACAGATCAGCTTACAGTTATCTGTAATAGACGATATTTTGTCACTTTTGTAAAGCTTGTTTGGCGCAACTTGTTTTAAAAATTGAGGTAATTCCGACATCTATAATATATAAGCTCTTATCACGGCACGGTAATGCATTTTTGCTATTTCAATTGTATTTTTTATGTGTACGATATATAAATTGAAGCATTCTTCAAGGAGCATATAGACGAATTTCCTTCTTGAGTGGAATCAGTTTTTTCCATAGCCAATTCGTCTCTGTATCCATTTCCTCTAAATTTTCTTCAATACCTTCATCTTCTGTTCTTGTAAACATTCTGTACTTGTCTTAAAAGTTTTAAAAATTATAATGTCAAATAATAAACCGTTTTTAGTTCATTAATAATTGAACATGTTGTATCTATAAAAAAATCGTTATCCTTTTGAAAGAACATTTATAATAGTTTTGACAGCTGATAACATATATTTTGCAAAAGAGAAGACAAGTTTTTAGCAGCCTGATAACATAATGCCCATGCTTGTTTTTCACCAACAGGACCATTAAAGAATAACAATATATTTTGAAGATACCGTGAAAGACCAAAATTGGATCAAAATTCACATGGTCGCTTAGCGTATGTCCGTAATATTAATGATAAGAATAAAACCAAATATTCGATCTTCCACGGTAACATATATTCAAAATATATTAATATTTAATATATATATATATATAATTTTATATTATCTCATGCACCATTCTTAAGTTTTAATTCATTTTATTATAAATTAGCAGTATAAATTTACATTTAATTTATTTAACATAATTAATGTTTTAGGGTTAAGATATTGTAAAAAATATTTTTATCAATTATATATATGTATGTGTTAGGGTGGGTCAAAAAAATCAATTATTTTTTTTTTTACGAGTGCCACGGAAAAATGGGTTGCTAGACACCTTAAAACAATTCTCACCAAATATGAGCTCTTAATTTTAATAGGAAGATCCTCCGCACCGCAGTTTTTTATTTTTTTCTCTTATTTTAATCTATTGGACTGACAAAAAATAAAAAACTGCGATGCGGAGGATCTTCCTATTAAAATTAAGAGCTCATATTTGGTGAGAATTGTTTTAAGGTGTCTAGCAACCCATTTTTCCGTGGCACTTGAAAAAAAAAAAAGTCATTTTTTTGACCCACCCTAATATATATATATATATTATATAAAATGTATAGATATAGATATATATTATAATATATATATATATATCGTTTTTCTTTTGAAAGTGTTAGTTAAAGTTAAATTTATATTTCCTATTAAAATAGTGGCAATTATTAAGTGAATAATATGCGTTTTCTTACCAAGAATGGAGTTAGGCTACTTTCAAAATTAACATTACAACACATAACAATTTACATATCTTTAAAACATTACAGAAACATAATTTATGCGATTCAAAACATTTTTTAATTACATCAATTACAAAACATTTTACTGCTCATTTACATTTTGCATGTGTGAAAGGGATTTGAAGAAATCATGATATTCCGGTAGTATATGTCGTAGTAGGTCCATTATATCTTTGAATTTTACTGTTGTAATTTGTCTAATATTTTCATACAGTGGTATCAATATAATATTGTTGAACTTTTTTGGTCTACCCAGACGTGGTAATAAATTCAGGAGTTTTAAATTTTCATTCTCATTCAACGATGTCTTATAAAAAATTTGATACGGTTCATTTCTGACAAAACGCATTCAAACATATTTTTAACCAGTTTATCAATTCTCCGTTAGAATTTTGTACCCTTTTAAAAATTGCCTTTTCTAATAATTTTGTTCATTCAAAAATTTTGTTTCATTTCATTTAAAATAAAGTTATTATACCTTTTCGGCACTTTCTAATAATATTATAATAATCTTTTGGGGATAAATGGTAAATAATTTTTTTTTAATGACATTTCTACCATGCCAAAATCTCTATCATTACGAGTAATTACGTACAATCAGAAAATAATAATTGATAAGTGGAGTTAGGCCACTTTCAAAATAAACGGCTCATATACTATATATATATATATATATATATATATATATATATAATATAAATACATTTATAAGATAAAATCTTTGTAGAATAATAATTGCATAAATAAATAAGCGATAAAAGCTAGATAAGCGATATAACATTTAATTTTTGTTTTACAATATATTCATTAACTTCATTGTTCAAAAGCATGAAAATATTTGTACTTCATATCAGATTCCATATTACCATAATTTCTAGCTACGAAATATATGCGACAGTCTTATGCGATGAAACCAAAGAGAAGAAAGATATCTTCTTTTTTATTATCACTTCTAATCATTGTGTACACTTCTATATTTTGGATATTTATAAGCAAATTATTGTAGTAAAAAATATTCTGTATACTTATCATCGGTGCTCTTCGCAATAACAATAATACTTACGTTTAAGTAAAATATTCTTTTGATTATTTTTTATATTTATTTAAGATATATTCGTATAATTCATTTATTGTTAATAATTATGCATATACTTACAAATAATTGATTATAATAATTTCTATAGAAATGTTTAATTAAATATAAAAAAATTAATTAAAATAACACAATTTGCAAATTATTTTTAAAGTAAATTATGTTTTCAACATGTTTAAATTTAAATTTCCATTTACATTTGGGGATTGGATGGTTCCCAGCGAATGAAAAGTCTCTCATAGACTTGAAGTAACGTAATTGGACAAACACCAGAGATCCTTATCCAGTCACACATCACCAAGAACTAATCAGTAGCGAGTATGGTTTATGGAATTAATACAGCAATAATGTTTGGACAAAATATAAACTAAAAGCATAACAAGAAATTAATATAAAGAAAACACCAGACTATAAGCGCCAAGAGGTACATAGCTTGTGTAGATACATTTTTCTCATTTAGTTATATATATATATATATATATTTGTGTATAGTAAAAGTAGTAGTATTTTTCTTCGAAGATAGATTACTTGAAAGGTATTTATTGACTGTTTAAACTTTATATTTCTTGTCTTATTTTTCTCATTTTTCAAATGAGACCTTGTTTATAAAAATCGGTGTCTGGTACGATCAACAGTTGAAATACTGTTTTAGATACTTTTATACCGAGGTGATGAGCAGCCTTAAAAATGTGGTATTAATTTTCTTATTTGTTTGAAAAACTCGGTTTTAACAAATTTGTGATTTTAAAAATATAGCATAAATTTATTTAAAATTTCTAAAACAGCTTAAAAGTGAACCGTTATAACGCTTTGTGGAAGTTTCGAGGTGTTCTGTCCAAAGGCCGCGCAGCTTGGCTAGTTATTGACCACTGCAMYTGACCAATCGCCGTCGCCGGACTAGGGCCGATGGAAGCTTCCTTTTTTACACTAGTGATCCACGCAGAGAACAGAAGTGACCAATCGAAATAATGGAACAAGCACACGACGAAAGAGACACAGAGAATTCTTAACGGTTACAGCGAGATATCACAGAATTCACCGGAGTGAAGAAAATATCGACTGATTAAATTGAAGTGCCGCACACGAATGGACGAAATCGATCCAGCTTCCGCTGAATCCTAGATCATCGGGGCGCGGAGGACGACGCGCCGAGATTACGCCACGTTGATCCGCCAATCAACGCCTCGGGTCGCGATCACGCCACAAGCYCCGGCCAATCCGGCGCTGCCACCCTCTGGACCGGCTACGTGGCCGAGCGGATTTTTCCCCCACCGGAAGCGCGCATTTCCGGCGGTTGCTAGTGACCTGAAGGTTGGTGCCGGTATACAGAGAGGTGTCAGCACCGTCCTGGTGAGAAGCGCCGCAACCTGACGAGTCGACCGCTAGGTGTCAGCACCGAGGAGGTGTGGGACGCCACAGCTTTAACTCTTTTTTCTAATTTTTAAAATTCAAATTTAAAAGAAAATTATCATTTATTTCGAACATTAAATTTCGAATCAACTATAATTTCAGGATGATACCAGGATATAAAACTTGTAAATGAAAATTTTAAGTATTCATTTTTAGATTACATTTTATATCGCACAGAATTTTTCTTATTTCTTTTCAAAGAAATTCTCAAAAGTTGTAGTAAAATAATTGAGATTGTTTATCACAAAAACTTTATTTGTTGATATTTTTTATTTCTTTATTTACTATAAAATTATGTTTTCAACAAATTGTAGGAATATACGTAAGAAATAAAATCAAATGATTAAATCATATTAAACAAAAACTCGATAATGGAATACTGATATAGTTAGAGAGAGCAATTTATAGAATGTTTACTTGAGAACTACATGTCTTTTTGTTTTTCCTTCTTTTTCTCTTTTAATAGCTTGTAGTTTAATAAAATTCTATAATAACTAGTGATCTAACATTTGTATGATAATAAAGTTATTTCATGGGGCATTTCTACTTAAATTAAAACGTTTTTAATAAAATTACTTGGTGTCACAGTTACTTTATACTTTTCCATATCGCGAGACAAATAGCGCGTAATATGGTGTATCCATATTTTAATTATGAAATTTGTAACAAATCGTAGTACTACATACATTTGCATACTAATGCGGTAGGAGAATTTGCACACGTACACTCCTGTTTTTTTTTAAAGAGTTTTTGCAAAAAATAAATTATACGAATCATTGATATATTTCAACTATTATAGAAAGTGTATAGTATTTCAGCACATAACTTTCTCTATATTTTGCATTGAATAAATTCTCCTAGATATGACCACTGTATAAAGAAAAGAAAAAAAAAGAAAAATTATATTGCATTTAAAATTTAAAATAAAAACTTTACGTTATCTTTGGAATTCAGTAGACTGCATTCCAACATAATTATATTATTTACATGATATTTACAAACGTATGAACTACAGACTTTAATTAGCTCTGTTCTTACACAAATATAATACATATAAGGCATAGTGAGAACTTGAAATTTCTCGAAATAATTTACAAAGAAAAAGATTACTCGTCGAGGCGAATTAATAATCTCTTTTTAGTAAGAATTATTACTCTGTAAGTATGAAAAAAGTTCGGCGGTATGGTGTAATACATTTATATTCTACTAGATGAGGAACATCCGGCAGTATTCATGTATTTCTGTATTTTCATGAAATTTTCTAATTGCTTACGTAAATGATATAAATTTTTAGATAACGTATACATTCGTATTCGCTATCTTATAATGATATTTTTCGATGTTCTTTTGAAAATATATAATGAGATATTGAATGTTCCGATTTGACACAATGTATAGATAAAATACTTTCAATAGTTTTTTGTTTCTAATTATATATGTATTTATGCATGTTTCTTGGTATTTATGAGACCACATAATTATTCAAATGATAAGTTCTTTAGGCATGCCGGGTGGCATCAATATGGGCATTATCACCATGCTACGTTTTATCATTCATACTAAAAATATTATAAGAATAAATTTTTAATAATAATAATAATAATAATAATAATAATAATAATAATAATAATAATAATAATAATAATAGTCATAATAATAATCATAATCATAATTAAAATAGTTATAATAATAATAATAATAATAATAATCGTATCATCGATAAACATTAGACAAAGTGGCCATTCCTTCGAAAAAAAATGAAACAATAAGTTTATAGCGTTTTTTGTTTTTTTTTTGTTAGCATCACTTCCTAATATTTCAGCGCGAGCGCTTATATATATTCAACAACGGATTTATCGATAATAACGTAACAGCCTGCCAGCAGTGCACAGTTCTAAATGTATTTTATTTAATGCTTCTTTTTATCTGCTCTTTCTATCTATTTTACTAGATTTCATTAATCTTTTAGCCGTAATAACCTCTGCATTTTTTTCTTATTATTTTTTGTTCTTTTTTTTTCATCTAACAATAATAAGTGCGACGAGCTTACAAAGACAATATTACAGAAGCTATATCCAAAAATTCTGTGATTATCGATTAATGGTATTAGCAAAAAGCAAAATGTAACTCGCCGCACACATGGCTCTTTATAATGTTTCTTACAACAATCATTCTGAGAAAGCAGAGGCGCTTTTCTGTGAATTTATTCCACAGGCATCTAGGCACAACAGATACAAAAGTAATCGTAGTTGTATAGTAGTGATAATAATAGTAATAGTAATAGTATTAATCGTAATAGTAGTACACGTAGAAGTATCCGGATTTATAATGATTGATATTCTAAAATAGCACTGTCGTATACATTCTAAAGTAATAACGTCTTGCGTTTTCTCTGCTCTAATACGAGCTGGAAGTGTTTAAAGCGATAATCTAGATTATTTTACACCATGTACACGTAAACGTAAACTTCATTTATCATAGTTATTAACACAACAAGCTCGCTTAGCTTAGCATAATTTAATGATAACACAGAGTAAACGTTATCGATGATACTGCTCCTTTTGTCTTCCGTATCCTCGTTTGTATAAAATCTTTTCTAGAATATACCAAATTCATGAAAACCACAGCATTAATAATGTCCTTTATACCAGTAATATCATATATACTTGTGTATGTATATATATAACACACACACACATATATATATATATATACATATAGCATACACTTGCATTTTAAATGTCTTTTTGTGCTAAATATTTCATGTCTAATGAATTTAGAGCCCATTTTAACCATATTTTTATCTCAAACATTACATAGTTTAAATATTTTCTCTTCTTTTTTTGTTTCTAACAACTTCTTAAATTAGTGATTTGTGTTGAGAAAAGAAATAAGTAATCTAGATGCATCAAATGGACATTATTATTTTCATGCAAATTTCCATGTTTTCCTAATCTAAAGGGAATAATAAGAGGAAGATATTTTCTCTAGCACGAGCAAACCAAATTCTAATATACGTTAAATGTTATTGATTCCGCACAATATAAGGCTCTATAAGGCAGACACTGCCAACGTATGTTTATCGCCGTTTTTTTCCATCTCCCCGGAAATAGCTAACTTGTGATTTTACTACAACAAAATAGGGGATAAATTGGAAGAGAATAAGGTAAGGACTAGCAATTATTCGGATCAGGCGGTGTTACAAGGTATTCATCAGCTCGCTTGTGATCAGATAGAGCCCGTATTGTGTAGGAGTCTTGTGGTAAATCACTCTTCCTTCGTAAAAGTGGTTTCATTGAATTTGCATTTGTTATTTTTTTCGCCTGTATTATATTAAGTATTTATTAAATTTTCATAATATTATTTTATTTTAAATCTACTAACTAATTACTGGGTTGTCCGGAAAGTTTGTACCGATTTTCGGTAGGTGGTATGAAAGTTCTTTTGCTGAAAAACCTGAGAAGTTCTGGAAGGACGAAATTTTTAAGTTACCCTTAACCACTTGACCTATGATTAACTTTACGATTGCGGTGCCGTACACTACGATTTAACCAGCGTTACAGTGTACATTCTCACACTTCGCTTCGCTTCGAAGCGCTTCGGTAAAACGAAGATTTTGACATGTTTAAAATCTTTTTTTGCTTCGGGACCAAGTGCATATTGTATAGGAAGCAATGTCCGAGACCACTCAAAGGGTCCGACACTATAAAAAGGTTTATGTCGCACTAATATGTCTCGATAATTCTTGAGTTTGTTTGGGATTTTATTGCCCTTCAGAGTTATTATATTATATTATTCTTAATCTCTGAATGGAATTTTTTCTTTCACTAAGATCGATAATGTATTCAAACAGAAAAAAATATAAAAAAAAAATAAATAAAATATTAAAAAAAACTGAATATAGGCTTATTGTCTACATATTATGCGACATCATGCACTCTGGAACTGTAGCTTGAGAAATAAACAACCTGGTTTTTACGCGATGTATGATATACGTCGCTTTCAGTTTTGAGATAAAAACGTCTCAACGTACGGTATACGTCATTATAGTGGTTTAAAGTGGTTAAAAATAGAGAAAAGTTGTTGAACAGAATGGTTATATATAATTAAATAAACTTATATATAATTTAATAAATATATACCAAAAAAAAACTTAAATACAGTTTTGTTGCATTTCAATATTCCGTCAAAATTGGCACGAACTTTCCGGACAACTCAATATATATTATAAATAATATATTATATCGTACCTCATTAGCTTTAGCTTCAATCTTTTCTAAAGTGAGCGGAGCTTGATCCGGATCACCATCCTCATCGGGTGAAGGACTATCTAAATGTTGCGTCAAGCTGTATGGAATGTTTGGCATACTTTTATTAATTGCCATATTATAATGTGGATGTCTCATTGCTAATGTTTCTACGCGCATCCATGCTTCATCTCTATCTTTCATAAGTTTACGTTCTCTTTGACGATCCTATATATGTTAAAATATTCAATTATATATGTAAATGTATAACTAATATTAATGTTTTATATTAGTTTTTCTTACTATAAATATACCTGATTGTACTGATTAGTACACTGATCAAATACTTTTTGATTCATCTCCATGAATAGCTTCAAAGCATTATAAATTAATCCATGAATCGTTTTATTCCAATGATTACGTGAATTTCTGTAGAAAGCTGGATACATGATCGGTAAAATCTCGGAATAATTTTCTGATATTAATGACATTATGTACTCATTGTTCCAATAATAAAGGGCTCTTTCTGCAACCTAAAACAAAGGATGTAAAAGTTATAAATCTATGTTTTTAATCAAATATATTTGATGCTAAAGCTATGGAATAAAAAACGCACTTGAAAATGAGGAGACGAGACACATTTTGCCAATTGTCTAAATAATGGGTCCAGTACTTTACGAAATTCAGCTGGCTCTATTACATCTAAAATTTCTTCCAATTCATTAAGAAACATAACTTCCTTGGGAGAGTGTGTTTTTGGCCAAAATTTCAATAAATTTCTAATTACAGGTTCTGTCAAAGATGGATCCTTCTCCAAAAATTGAACAACACAATATGCTAATTGTGGATGATAAACTGATAACGATTTGGCTTTATGCAAAGGTAACAACACTTTTAAAAGAAAAACTTTATGTTCCTCTTTCAATGGTAAAGCAAAACCATTTATAATGCTGGAATAAATAAAATCGATAAATATATGTCACATCATTCAATTTATCAGATACATTTCATTCAGCTCAAATTCAAAACATTTATGAATAATGATATTACCTTCCTAAAATTTCAAGAAGTTCTGCGATACCATTATGGTGTTCAGTTTCATATATAAATCGATAAAAAACATTATTTATTTGTTTCCTGATGTACGCTCTTAAACCGAGAAACTTTCCATAGATTCTATGAAGAGTTGTTTTCAGGAAATCTCTTTCTCGTGGATCTTCAGAATCAAATAACTCTAGTAATTGTAAGACAAACTTTTGGTCTATATAACGTCTTGCAATAGATGGTTGGAAATCTTGAGATTCCAACAATCTTAAAAAGAATTCGTACACTAATTGCAAATGAGGCCACGCTGCTTCCAAAGTGGGTTCATCTTCCTCCGGATCAAATTCAGCACCATTTGGATTTGAAGATGGTGGAAGTGTTCGAAACAAATTAACAGCAAACTATAAAATGAAGTAGATTACAAATGAAATAATTAGTATAAATTCCTTATTATTTTTCAATTTCACAGTATTATGCATATATATTTAACTTACCATATTTACTGCTTCTGGATAAATTGATTCGGTAATAACATTTTTATTTTTGGTTACATAATCAACCATTTCATGAAGGGCAGTACGCTTTACCTCTTTCCATTTCAAGTCTGACAGTGGATCGGACTCAAAGTCAAAAAGTACACAGCACTGGCGTAACTTCTGTATGAAAAGTTCTTCTCTTTCATTCCCCTGTTGCGTCTCTGAAATAAAGAAACAAGAATTGGTTTAATATGTTTATAAAAATAATATACTCTTAGATAATTTTACCAATTATGAAAGGCTGAAGTTGTTGATAATGCAAAGCAAATGTTGCTGAATAAAACTTGTGCGGCTCCTGAGGTAATACTGTGGCAAAAGCTAAACCTTGATGAAAACTAGGACTCTTTGGTAAACCTATGACCCCAATAGCAGGGCCAATACCTCCTACATGAACCATTGTAATTATGTAGGTATACAATCTCTTTAATACTTTTAAAAAACTTTGCTTTTGATATCCTACAGCACCTTTACTTTTTTCCTACTTCATTCACTTAGTCATTCTAACTAATCTGTTTCTCAATAGATCTTAAAGAAACAAACATCTCTGATATCGTCTCTATTACGTTTCGTAAGCGTACGCAACAATCTGTTGCTTCCTACGAGAAAAGTTGAAGAATCGATCGGACCGACTGAAGAATCCTACTTCACACTGTTTTCGAACTGTCACACACTATATAATTTTATTGGCGGTGGTAATTCGAGATACGTAAAATTGTATTTCGCGGGCAGTTTACGGATCTCGTTAAAAGCCGAGTCAAAGGTGATTGTATCTCTCAGTTAAAAGAAAGGTCGATGGTCTAGGCTCACTTGTACTAAACCTGAACAAGGTAAAAAGAGGTGGGGTGAACGAGAAAAGAAGGGAGGAGGGGAGAAGTGAGAAGAGAAGAAAAGAGACGTGTGTATAAATACTGTAGAGCAAAAAGAAAAATGATGAAAGGGAAGAAGGGATATATATATATATATATATATTTATTTATTTATATATACATATATATAAGTATATATATGACGATGATGATGATGATGACCGGCAATGATCAATAGAGTGGAAAAATATGAGGTAAAATGAGAAATAGGATAGAGAGGACTGTGTGTTTACGTTAAGAGAAACGAGAAACGGTGTGTGAATTGAAGTGAGAAACGCTTGCGCGACGTTCTAGCGAGCTAGAGAGGAAGAAAGAGAGAGTATCTATGTATGTATAAAATAGAATCGATAGACTGTGACGTAGAGAGCCGCTGCTGCCACTCGTCGAGAACGAACTAAGCAACCCCGATTGACCGGCGCACCAACTCTGCTATACCTACACCTACACACACCGATATATATATACAGAAAGAGAGAAAGGCATACGCCTGCTACCTACATATATGTGTTAATCGCATTGAGAAAGGGCGGGAACACCGATTTTCTATTTTCCTTCCTCTTGCGAGAAAGTAATGCATAATTTTTTACGGTGCTAAATGGTGTTACACTCGTGGCCTGTCATGTCCTATCGTATCGTATGGTATCTATCGTGTCCATCTTTCATTTTATCAATAAATCTCTTCGAGCTTTAATTTTTTTTTTTTAAATTAATTGTAAGAGGAATGTCATTTTTGGAGGTTAAGTAAGTGATCGGGAAATTAATAGAATCATAGACTATATTGCGTGGATGTGTGATACGTATAATGTTCTTTTTTAATATAGATATTTTTTTACGTTTGCAGAAAATTGATAAAAATAGAAATATACGTATACACATGTGTATATATAGATGTTGTTTAGCGATAAGCATTGATCGAACATAGAGCGTGGGAAATTTTTGAAAATAAATAAATATAATAAACAATACTTGGTATTGATTTTATACTGTACCGTTATATTGATAATATTTTGTTTATATATATACACACATATAAGTATTCTTCCTCATTCATACAACTTTAGATATTCCAATTCCTATAAAGCTCTAGTAGGTAGAACTTCAGAATCAATGTTTTCTTGTGTTTGATATGTATATATGTATGTATATATGTATGTAAACATATATTTCGCATAAAATATTAAAAAAGAGAAAGTCATGATAATAATGTAAGCGATACGTTTTTTATGTTGTCTCCATCATGTGTGGGTTGATTCATATGGTTCCAGCTTCATTTTCTAAACTAATACACCGATGCATGATATCGCTTTGTCTCTAGTTACCAATTGAATAGTCACCATTTGCAATAGAAAATCAAAAAGAAACATTAACGGTCAATAGTTTCGCAATTTTGTCTTCTTTTTAAATTGATCTATTTTATTTAATAAATTTCGATTAAAAAAAAAGCATATTGTTTGGATCCGGTCACGATATACCTTCGCATTTGCATATATATGAAACTTATACAATTACTATAGTATCATTTATTGTAATAGATAACATTTGCTTTATTTTTATATTACTTATTCTCTTGAATCTTTAACCATTTGCGCTACGAATAAGCCAAGGTCCCTAGAATAAGCTTCACGGTTGCGGTGCCGTGCGCTACAATATTGCACTTGTCGAAACAATGTCACTGAGTTTACTATTATTTTCCATTTTACAATATGGGTTGATACGATGAAAATAATATAAATCTATTACTATGCGATGTCGTGCACTCTGGAGCTGTAACTCGAGAAATAAACAATCTGGTTGTTACGCGACGTGTGGGCCACGTTATTTTCATTTTTGCGATAAACGTCTATCGATGTGGTGTATACGTGTATTTTGAAACAAAAAATTTCGACGTGCGTGACACGTTTTTTTAGCGCAAGTGGTTAATATTATTAATAGCGATTTTAATTTAATTATTTGCAAATATATAATATCAGGTCAACAGTGTGGTTTACAATTATTTTTAAATTTCAAATTCGTATTTTATATCGAATTAAACATTTTAACTTCTTTTAATTAGTTTTGTAATGAATTGTGATCGATTAAATTTAATTATCAAATTCATGAATGTGTAATTAAGTAATACAAATACATTTTATGAATAATGAAAATCTAGAAGGAAAAACAGAGGGGGGTAGAGAGAGAGAGAGAGAGAGAAAAATAAATTGTTGCATACGTTAATGACATCGGTGATACTACTCAAAAATGACAAAAAGAAAATACTGGCTTCTTTTTAAACGCTTTTTCCGTCGTTTAACCGAGGACGTAGCTTCCCGACAAAGTAATTTTAATTAACGTGAAAGCTTATTGTCTATCTATCCGTGAAAGTGGAACGTCAGGTAACATCCGTTCCAACCAAAGAGGTCGATAAGGGCCATTCTAATGTTTACTTCGAATACAATGCAAATGGTTAAAAGAAGATTCTTCTTGTCCAAAGTATGGACTCAAGTAGAAAAGTTTTAAACACAATAAGAAAGGTAGAATTTGATTTGGACTAGGTGGTTCTCAGAAACCTATAATTTTTTTCTATCAGTTAAACTAACAAATTAATTTTTTGCGAAAATTCACACGTTGTCAAAATGACGGAATAAACGTAGGATTATGTATTTACATCAGGACAGATGATTTTGAGCAGAAAAAAAAAGAATGAAAAAAGAGTAGGAAAGGAGAAGCTCTTGTAATGTGTTAGATAAAAAAAAATCCAATATCGGATGCGATACCATGAGTGCGTGTATGTCCGATATATTCTATTATAACTTAAGCACGACGTTCTTTCTTCTAACGTTACCATTCTCATTCTACAATTTTTTCATTTTTCTCAGAGCTGTTCGTAATATCTTGTAAGAAAAAACGTATTATTATTTAATGCATTATTAACCCTTTGAACTCATATGTTACATTGAAAGTGATAATATATAGATATACTATAAAAGTCGTACATTATCTCTGAGGTGAAAATAATAATCATTTCCTCTTGTTGCATATTTCTTAGTGGATTATTTTTATTTATTTTTTTAGAAACTTTATATTAATACATATAGCAAATATTTATCACTTTATCTTACTTTATTTTAAACAATTATAAAAAAGATTATGAATAATAATAATAATAATCATAATCATAATTAAAATAGTTATAATTATAATATTAATAATAATAGTAATAATAAAAAAAATAACAATAATAACAATAATAATAACAATAATAATAACAATAATAATAATAATAATAAATAAAATAAAACTTGGCAAAAAACTGAGTTCAGAGGATTAATAAAATAAATACACTATTTCAAACTAGGCTTAACAATTAAAAATTATTTTTTAATTTATTGTTAGGAATTATGGAGACAAAAATGAATAAAATAAAATTAAAAACAAACAGAAATTAACGTAAAAATATAGGGGACGAGTAAGGTAGAAGATAAAAATCGATACTCTAATCAAATGAAAAGTAAAACAAACCTGCCAAGAGCGGGAGCTTCTGAAGTTCTCGGTTCTTTGATATGTTGAATCTTGAACTGCTTTGTCTTTTATCCTTTTTGATAACAGGTCCACCAGGCTGATACTTGACTTTGTTGATGAGTGTCGGTGGAGGTGAGGCATTTCCATGTAAAGGACCACCTGACACTTTGTTCGTCTGCAAAATAAAATAAATCGATGATAAGAAAGATAATATACAGTATGCCCTCGACTTTTGCACATAATTGGTTCCTGAAAGTGTGTGCGAATGTTGAATGTTCGAAAGTACAGGGATGTAAAAAAATATGCACCAGAAACTGTGTTTTAAAGTATTTATCTAAATTAGCAAAACGCACAACACGTTGACGCACGCCCTAATGATAGACTGAAACTGTTTTGTTCTTTTTGTCCGAACAACATTGTCATCTGATGGCTAATATGATGTCCCCTGGGAGGGGACATCCGATCGCAGAGGATTAAACAGTTGAATCTTTAAAAATGTGCGAAATAGCGAATTATGCGAAAGTCGAGGGCCGCCTGTAATTATAATAAAATATATTTAATTATATGTATCTATGGATAATATAATAAATTTCGTTTAAAACAGAGATTGTATCGCGAATAAATTTGATAGGAAAATGGATAATGGCGAAGGGAAAGATTTTTAAATAAACTCAAGCATATAAGTAAACCGTGACAACTTTGTAACGAGAGATGTGTGATTTTGATTCGCACAAATAGCCACAATATTTGGCGGAACTGCAAGTCCAACATTACCGTCCTTTCTACTTTTGTCAAGTAAATACAAACTTCTCTAAGAAGAATATCACATTTCTCTCGTTGCAGTAGCTTCACGTAACAATATTTACGTAAAGTTTATATTTAATAGAAAATTACGTGAAGATATTTATTAGAAGTTAATATCAAATTAGAAAAACTTAAACAAAAAATAAATGTGAAAATATAATTATTATCAACGTTATACTAAAGCTTGAAATGTTGTTCAGTATTAAAAAAGATGTAAATTAAACAATTTCTATAAAGAAAGGGTTAGTAAGAGAAATAAAAATATTATATCCAAATAAAAATAATAAGCGTTTTATATTATTAAATAACGAGGATGAATGAATGAGTAAAATGTTATATTGTTATATTTTTTGACCAACTTACTGAAACTCATTGAATTGCGAAAAATTTCCGAAATATGGGCGAATATTAACGTTATTACAATGTGAAAAACTACTACACAATTCTTTCGTCCCATCGTGAAAAAGAAAGAAATAGGAGAATGAACAAAAGATAGAAAGAAAGTTAGAGAAAAGGAGAAAGAGATAGAGAGAAAGAGAGAGAGGAAAAAAGGCTTTTATGCGTATCCTCGTTTATTCATTCTTTCGTCCGGCCTCTAATTACTCTTCCACAGTCGTTACCGGTGTTTTAAGAGGTTGCAGCAGTAAAGATAAATATAGCATATAGTATGACGCTTAAAATAGAAACCACGTGGGCGAATTGTTTGCAGCCTGACATGCCTGTCGTGCTCCTCGTTAAGGGGTGTTGCGTGTTCACACGTGAGATAAAATTCCAAATGGCTTTTTTGGCTTTGTTTTAACATGACCCTAGAGAGGAATCCATTATTTGAAAGTCGTATAATCTTGATGAAGGATATATCAGTGAGATTAATTAATAATAAATGACATTACGAACTAATGACGAGAGAAAAAAACTACAAAGAATTGAAAGAAAAAAGAAGATAACAAATCAAGATAAAATTTAAAAAAAGACAGTTGAGCAAAACCAAAAAAAAGAAAAGAAAAGCAAAAAATAATACGAAAGAACTAGATTTTAAACCGATAACGCCGATTTGTACGTACAGAAACATTCTCAATACGAAACCTGCCTTCTTCTTGAACACATTTCCAGAGGCGAGTCTGCTAAACGCTTGCATTTTATACGATTAAGAGAAAGACAGACGACTTTGATCCAGGATGCCGTTGTAGTAAAAAAATCATCGAATGAGGATCATCATTGTGTCTCTCTTCGTAATCCCAAATGTTGCGTGCTCCGCGAGAAGAAATGGTCACGTACTATTGTCCGCCATGACACTCATATTTCCGCTTCTCCAAGATGAATTACTTCCTTTAGGAATACACGAAATTTTCAATCACCGTCCACACACTTTTATTCGTTTTCTTTTTGGTGATTTGTTTTTTGATTTTTGTTTTTACAAGTCATTAGTTAGTCGTTTATTTGAATAATCTCATATACAAGAAATTGTTTTATTAAATTGTTTCTAAGTCTAACGAGGACCCTTCTTATTGAAACTGTGAATATTGTGAATATTTCGGGAAAAAAAATAGAGAGAGAAAATGAACAACGTGCACTGATAATTTGTCTTGATTCTGTTCTAATAATTCCTATGAAAAATTAATAACTCTTAATAATAATAATATCTCATTATAGAAATATACATTTTGTAAAGGATCTATTATTCTGGATTAATTATTTTTTTATGGATTTTTTGTCTAAATATCAAACAACTTTTCATCGAGTTATTTAATTTCATTTTTAAACGAGCTACATCTTAGAAGTAGATACCTAAGCTTTACACAGATGAGTTTTGAAAAGTGTTAACAAGTAGTAAGTTTTATTACGTGCTTACTAACACGCGCATATTGTTAGATAACTTTTGGAATATCATTTATCAGAGTTATCGATTGTTATCATGGTCGAAGCGAAGTACAAAAAATGTCGAGTTTCGCTTGATAATATTATTGAGGAATAGCAATGTTGAAAAAATTCCATTTTTTTAGTCGGACTGAATTACGTAAAACAAGTACACATGAAAGAATGAATCGGTAAATAATTATTGGTTTATGCTTAAAGTTATATGTTAGCTTGTATCATAAGAAGAAGAAGAATACCGATAAACAACGAGCGTAGACTGATGAATATTGCGTAACGAATCCCAAACAAGTAATACTAAACTTCTAATCTCTACGTTCTATTTAACAGAACCGTGCAAAATGATATAATTAAGATCAATAGGTATAATCGAATTTGAAAAAAATAACTTTATATATATGAAATACGTATATAAAATAAACGATACAAGGATTGCTTCAGAAATATATATAAACATAGATCTGGTAGATATTTACTATTGATATATAAATACTTTTCGCGTTTAAAGAAATTTTCAAAATGAAGTATTTATATTTCAGAAAGGAAGAGTTTCCGGATCTACGTTCGTTTGACCTTTTTTCATCCTCTGATAAAGTATAATGCAAAACCAAAGTTTGTCATCTATTTTTGAAGCACCTTCTAATTATATATAATATAACAAAAATCTATATAGATAATTAAAATAAATTGTTATTGTATAAAACAAATAATAGTATTCTAATATAAGAAAATTCACAAATAAAAATAAATTATTAAAGATAAAAAGAAATGAATGAGCTAATGTTAAAGATAAATATTATAATAAAATTGAAGAAAGAGAGAGTTAAAATGATAATAAAATTATTGAAAGAAATATGGATGATTGATTGAATGATCAAGAAAGAGAAAGATAGACATAGAGGAAGATTAGAGCTTTTGGCAAGCGATTGGCTCTCTTGGTATGCTGAACTATTGACAATCGTTCAAGGTCATCTTCGGTTGGCCTCAACCCTGAACCTACGCTCGATGGGAAAGCAAGTTATGTCGTTTTTATCAAGATAGACTTTTGGTCCAGGGTTGCAGTTGCATTCAATTCTCTATCAATATATTTTTTCTTTTTTATTCTGATTTGCGATCAAACGTCATGGACGCTCGTCTATACAAAAATCTATTTTCTATGATTTTTATTTCAAACAAATAGAAAAAGCTGACCCGTGAAACGTAAATAGAATAATGACGAGTGAACATGATATCTCGTGAGATTAAAAATTGAACAGATAATTTTGTTGAATTGAGTGCGTTACAAATTAATCATATGAAATGTGTCTTTCACATGCTTTTAATGTTTGTGAATATTTGAAGAATAATTAAACCCTTAATTAACATGGTATTCTCTTCTAATTAAATATAGTATACGCGATATTATTTATAAATTTTACACTAAATAATAATCTTTGATTACGATAAGGGAGAAAATTGGAATACAATTTTTACAATCGTTTTTTTTCTTTTTTAAATGTAATCATTTATTTGCTATAAAGAATATCTTTGTAGCTATCTAGTTAAGTTCAATGAACCATTAATGTAAACTCGGACAGATGTAGTAATATTAGTGATTATTAGAAAAGATAACAAACTGTACACGTAACTTATTTTCAATTTCTGTAGTCTAAAAATAAATGCAAACCATCGAAATTTGATTATCTTATTTAATATATCAACGAGTATATTGGTATCGTAATTGATTTGATTAAAATTTTATATGCAAACATTAAGACTTTGTACAATTATTTTATTTTTTATCGTCTGAATATTATTTTTACGAATAACATATTTTCTTCAATTCTATTGTAGCAAATTGTATCAAATATTTCTAATTTTGAATGAACGACAAGATATAGAAAAACAAAATATTTGCATTTATGTAAAATAAATAGATTCTAATCTGAACGTCGATTTTTTCTCATATAAAAAATTCCAATATACGAATAAGTTCCAGAATGCTATAGCTCGTTACAATGATTAAAGGCAACTCGAAAATTATCGATAACATCGTCGATGAACTTAGGACTTCGAATAAGAAGAAAGCTAATATAAGAAAACGAAACAAATGAAATATCGAACGAAATGAAATATAAATACAATTATAATGATCAATTCCTAATTATAAATTAACGATCGATTTGATCGATTGATCAATTTAATCACAACCATTTTACAAACAATCAGACGATCATAATTTATGATCAATGAATCGAAAAGAAAAGAAAAGAAAAGAAATAAAAATCCATTCGAATAAATCGATATCCTAGCACAATATATATATATATATATACTTTACTACAGAATTAAACCGATGAAATACCAAAAGAAAAGGCGGGAATTTAAAAAATGCCATTTAGAAAATTAGATTACGAGCTTGAAAAACTCTCTTCAGCAATGTCAAAATTCTTAACTAGAACTATGAGTTAAGGATAACGTAAAAATATTAAATATAAAGTGTAAATGATACTAGTATATACGATAATGATTCTAGACAAAGATTATAAAGTCACGTACAAACGTAAGAAGCCAAAAACTCATATTTACACACGCACGTACACACTTTTATATTGATTCACTCGTTTCACCTAAAGAATAAACACATTGAACGGAATAAGATAACGCACAAGTAAAACACAGGTAAAAATGAATGTCACACTAACGCGTATTGACTACTCGACACACTTTTCCACGTGTGTTACGCCGCGTAACGCGCTATTTACTTTATTTTTTATTTATTGATATATTATTTTGTTATTTTTTAACTTTAATAACGTGAAAATCATTCGACGATAATAATTAACATATTATAATAATTGATTGAACGATCGATCGATCGAGAGACGGCAGCGATCGCTTATACTAAGTGCTATCCCGACTATTACTGATGACTTTCCTCAAGAAGCAGTCTCGTGTCGTCTAACCTCGTTTTGGCTCCTCTATTCTCCCCCACCAAACTATACAGCCATTACTGCCGTTCCTTATGTACACATTATCGACGACGATAAAGATCGATCCTTATGAAAAGAGAAATCGAGAGATCGACAGATTAAAGACGTTAACAAATTTTAACAATTACTCATATTTCTGGTAATTTTAAATACATTACAATTTCTATAGAGAAATTCTATTTGTTAAATCAACATAATTAGCACTATTTTTATGAATATTGTATTAATTATTCAATGTTTATTATCAATTTCTTCTTTTACGATAAAATTATTCGTTCTTGAAAGTTAAAAATTTATTTAGTGTGATAGACATTAAGGAAACATAATAACATAGGCATTACGAAACTTTAGGTTATAACAGTCAATTTTATATATGACGTTTTACTCTTTTTTCTATTTTTGAAAACAACTTTAATTTAAATTTACTCGTCATTTATAGAGATATATTTTCCTTATTTTTTTTCTTCTTCTTATTTACAATTATATATATATCTGAACCACTGTACCACAGCCACTACGTGGCTGCCCACAGATAAAGGAATGCAATCGACAGCATCGAGTTGCATCGTAGTTCATTTTCACGACATAAGATCTATCATGCTTACAATCGCCAATAAGAAGTCACTTCTTATCGGTATAAAAATAAATCTGTCGCAATGTTATGGCGTTGCCAACAAGTAATCATTTATGACGACAATGACAATAAGATGTAAAACGAAAATTCGGCGATAAAAATTGTTCAAAAATTCCTTTCCACAAATTAAACTGATTGATAAACATTCGCATTTAGATATAAATAAGAAAAACTATCTATATAAATTTATGCATAATATTTATCTTATTTATTTTTATATGCGCATGTATAAATATATATATATATATATATATATATATATATATATATATATATATATATATAAAAANTATACATATATAAAAAAAGAACTAAGAAATAAAAAACATCTCGCCTCATGTTTTAAAAACGACGCCAAAAATCAAAGGCTGAGCTTAAATAAAATAAGATTGAGTGCCAAGTTCTTGCACAAAATTCGCAACAACGACTTTTCGTTATTATTCATTCCTTCGGACAAATTTGATTCAATATTTTACCGGTTTCATTTACTTTTTCTTCGACTCGATGGCTTTGAAAGGCTTGAAATTTAAAAGAAAAAGAAAGCGTTTTAGTTTGAAATATTTGAAATCGATCATGATCGTCATATGAACTCTAACGATCGTAGTGCCATCTACCTTAAAAATAATAAAACAAATATATGTAACTCATACGTAACTCTATCTTTCTCTTTCTCTTTTTGTTAACTCACCAGTCCCGACCACTCTACAAAATAACAACGCAACACAGCCAAATCAATCGTCTTCGATCACACCTATTCACTAAAGCGTGCGGACTATATACTTATGTTCCTATGCATATGTATACGACACGGCATGCACTTTTGATTTTTGTGCAATTTTACTCTAGCTGTCATCGAATCGTCCGATATAAATTAGACGTGAAACACGTAAGCCTTTAAGATTTTGTCGACATTGGATATAAGCAAAAATGAAAAAAAGAAAGAAAAATATACGCGACGTGCAATATTTTATATTGTATGACTCTAAAAAGAAAACAAGAAAAAGAAAAGGCCGAAGTTTTTGCAATAAATCTTAAACTTCATTTATTTCCTTTTTGTTTTAAAAAGAACAATTATTGTAGAATTTGAACTGTCAAGATTAGTTTTTATTATCATCAGATTAAAATTTATAGATTTTTCACATTTAAAAAATAATATTTTAACAAGTTTTAACATTTTTATAGTAGCAAATCATTGTTCTTTTCTGATTTATCTTAATAAAAAAATAGGTATGAAGCTTTATTGCGATACAATCTAAAACACTGTACACCCATACGTACTCGTTAATGATAGAAAACGAGGAATCCGTGTATTATTATAAATTTTCGTGATTAATCGATCATGAGTCTTTTTTTCCTTTATGTTTTTAATAACGCAACGCAATCTCGTCGTAGTTGCAAATGTTATAGACGTATTTAACGATTATTTTGATAAAAAATATTTTTAAAAAATGGTCATTATTCATTTTTGTTTCCTAGTAAAACTGAACTCAAATTGACTACACCATCATAAAAGCGGCGGATGACAAATGGAAATAAAATAAAATAATTAAAAATAAATTGATGTCTGAAATCAAAATAAAAAGTTTGCCATCTTGTGAAGGAAAATCTATATTTTTCTAATTGTAAATTTCCTGTATTAATGAAATAACTTTTGTAAGAATAACGTTACATCAGACGTAAAACAATCGATGTTACGTGAATTATGCACTGGAGCATCATCACAACACTATCATTATCATAATCTTTGTGTCGTCATAGTCATCACGCGCAGTTTGTGCATATTATGTGTATATATATATATAAAAAAAGATAGAGAGAAAAATAGAAATAAAGATGGGGGATGGGTGGGGGAGTGTGTGATGAATGAGTAACGAGACGCCGTCTTTCCAACGACTCAAAACGAAGCAACACCGGCGACATTCTGTTTGTGTTCTTTCTACGTCGGAATTCCAATGTTGGCGCGCGTGGCGCCAAGTTTAACCTTTTCGATGCTCCAGACACGATGAATAACTTCATAAAAAATGTTTACGCAAATACGAAATGGTGTATGTATATTTGTATTACGTACAGTCAGGAAAATTGATTCTGAAACAAGAACATTTAGCGACCTCAAAGTTAAAGGCTAAATTAACTGTATTTTATAATAAAGAGTGGTACATTAAAATACATTTCAATTAGTAGGTTGCATCATAGTTCTGTATATTTTAGAATCAATTTCTTAAGTATTCCATAATTGGATGTGTATACATATATATATATCGAAGTAACAGGAATCAAACAACAGAGGAAATAATTTGTCTCGTTTTGAAACATCCTTTTGTATAAATTTGTATAATTAATTGTTCAATTTTTGTTTGATTGGGAAATATTGAAATATTATTAAATTTACCATGTTAAATTCTAAAGTGCAAACGCGAATGATATCTCTTTCATCTTGTAAATCAATATATTTATAGTACTGTTAAATAATTTCAAAAGATATTGTGATCGATGAAATATATAGAAAAAATGAAACATAAATGCAAATATAAATGAATTTTGATCACGTCTCGTGGCAGCAGTCTCGGCATACGATCAAAACTTCAAAGTCTAGAAGCGAACCAACGAACCGTCATACTGTTCCCATAAGAATGTGAAATAGTAAACGAATACCGTAGTGCGTTTCATGTTACGTCTTGGTTTTATTCCCAATGATATTACACATCGACACGATATTCCGTAAGCATGGAATAGATTTTTTTTCAATTATTATTTTATTTAAATGTTTTATTATTATATCGTTCGAGTCAAAAACATTTAAATTTTCACTTGACTCAAATTAACTAAAATAAACTGAAGATAATCATAAAATGTTATTAGTCCATGAGATTGACCAATCACCGTAAAGAACAGCTGAGATAGGGAGAGAAAAAAAATAGAATGATAATGAAGAACGTAAAAGACGTAATAAACATTGAAATCTAGTAAAATTTTTGGTATATTTCACCAAAAAAAAAGATCCTAATCGCGTTAACAAGAACATACTATAATCTGCTACATTTATCGTGACAGGCCGCCTATATACGGGAAGAAACATCATCGTGGTTTCGTAGGAATGCGAGCACGAAATTGCAGAATGTTCCGTTGCTCGATTAATTTTAAGCTTCGACGAGCGTACAGACGTGTAACGTAGTACTAACAATAAGTAGTATAGTAGTAGTAGTTGTGTAGTTGTAGCAGCAGTAGTATATGTATATACATACGTAAACGGTAGAACGATTCACGAGCATTGAATTAAGAGAATTCTAAGTTGAAAGAAGAGAAGGAGAATAATTGTTATGGTCAAGCATATAAATGATACAACTTTTTCTTTCTCTTATCATTAAAATGTCAACTGCTTCCAAATCGACATTGGCTTTATGCTAGAGTTTTACTAAAGACTAATTAGAAAAACAGTAAGCAGGAAGTGAGGGATCTGAACGTACTTAGGAATGATTGTGCCTGTAAAAAGAGAGAGAAAGAAGTTAAGAGAGATAAATAGATAAAGAGAGTCGTGTAAAAAAATTGCGCAGCGAATGTCCGAAGAATCAATCTCTAGCGTAAAAGAAAGATATATTTATATATATAAAAAAAGAGAGAGAAAGAGAGAGAAAGAGAGAGAGAGAGAGAGAGAGAAAATGAGAAACAAAGATTGGCGATCCTGACACTGACGATCTACTGTACAATAGATGACAGAGTAGATCTCGCGAGAGGAACGATATTTAAGTACGAGATGGGGAAAACGTTGAGATAGTGGGGATTGTGACAATGGTGGGGAGACGTGGGGAAGAAGCGTAGAGAAACTAGAGATATAACCTTACCTCGTCGCCGGCCTCGACATCCTTGTTGCCGTTCTTTCCCTTGTCCTTGCTGGTTTTCGATGACGTTTCCTGGAACAGAAGTAATCAAAGCATGGCAGATCTTGTTGGTGTAGTAGCAAGCGCGTGTTCACGCGTGCGTTACACTCGTCCCTTCGAGAGAGGAATGAATTGGCACTCGCGAAAACACGCTTCATATGTTGCGTGTGTATACATGTGTACATAAATGTATATATATTTATACACACATACATACACATATATTACATATATATATATATGTATACTATCCAAAGCACGGTATCAAATAAAAAAGGAAAAAATACCATTATTGTGTTGTGTGCGTCGGAGCCCGAGACGCGCGAGAGAGTAGTCGAAACTCACACGACCGCCTTTAATAGGCCAACGATGGATTCCTCCGTATGCAAGAGTTGGGGAACTTTTACTAGAACAACACTAGCGATGAACAACGCTTTTTTTGCGTCGGAGAGATAGTTGAAGAGAGTAGATTTAACAACGTATACGGAGGATCAGGTCAAGAAACGAGCGAGATGGCAATTCCACCACGCTACTACACCCTTAAGTAGCTAAGGCTGCCGGGGTTGTTCCCCCGGTGCACTCTTTCTTTCTTTCTTTCTTTCTTTTTTTCTTTCTTTCTTTCTTCTTTCCTCCTTTCTTTCTTTTTCTCTCACTCTCTCTCTCGCGCGCACACGCTAGCTCCCTTCTTTCTTCAGCTCTTTCCTTCTTCGCTCTTTCTCTCTGCCGTGGAGACACACCATTCGCGTCGCGCAGCACTGAGAGAAAAAGGGAGAGAAAAAGAGAGATAGACACACACACACCAACAGTAAAAGGTAGATAATAGAGAGGGGAGGGGGAATTGATAGAGCAGAAACAGAAAGATCCGTAGACAGACCGATCGCGTGCAAAGAAAAACTTTGATGGTAAGAACGTTCCGAAGACACTACAGCGCAACACCAGGAAACTATCGTGACAAACGCACCTTCTCCTTCCTTAGCCGGGTCGGCATTTTTTAACTATCTTTACAAAAACAGGATTTCACGAAGATCGAAAAAAACGCGAACACGAGTACGCCCAAGAGAGTACGCGTATCGGCACATCGGTCTCTAGTTGCAAGCGAACCGACGACATACGAGCACGGCATCCCTGTATGCGCCGGCCATTGGCCTTTCTTATTGGTCGTTCTATCTTCGCTGCCATCGCCATCTCTCCTTCTTTCCTTAGTGAGACCGATTACGCCACCGATATTGCCTTTTTACCTCTTTCTCCCTTTTTTTCTTCCTTTCTTTTTCTATTTGCTCATCTTACTAATTTATATAGATTTCTTTTTTTTGGATCATTCCAACAGTAATACCGCTTATACAGAAAAATATGTTTGGATTTATTATGGACAAATTTTTCTATGAAATTCCTATTGGTTGATAGATTCACCAATGGAAAGTCACATCTTTATAAACGTGATTCTATTAATCCGTGATGTTTATTGGATAGAAATTATCTTTCTATTTAAAATATGTCGTATACTCAAAGGAATAATGATTAAAATTATCTTTTTACCACTCTCAAGGAACTTATTTTCGATTAATTATTTATTGATAAATAGATTTTGGTAAATACACATGGAGTTGTTATTGAAATAAATATTTTAATAACAATAAAAATATAGATACCAAAAATGCAGCGGAGTCTAATCGATTGTTTAAACATCTGAAATGTTAGTTAAACATAATAAACATTATAGGAGTTGTTATTAAGAAACAATTATATAAAAATAATTTAATTTTGTTAATATATAGAGACAAAATAAGAATCAATTATGGATCCAGTTATGAAAGTATAATTTCAAATAATTTGTTGAGTAATGAATACTTGTATTGCCAAGTATATTTAAAAATCTATAATTTTAGCATCTCAAACCTACGACTTGTAAAGAAGCGATTCAAAGATGGGAAGAAAAAACGGGATTAAATGCTAGCGAAGCAAAGGAAGTAATCATATCTTTTCAATGGCCTCCAATAGAAAAAATGGATAACAGTTTAGCTGTTTTTGTTAATGTAGAGTTAGTTATAAAAGCATCATATACTTTCTTCTTAACGTATAAAGTTAAAATAATGAGTAACAATGAGGTATTTTTTCATAGAAAATTATCTTTATCTTCTAATATGATAGAAAGAATAAGTGGAATTAACTCTTTAAAAAATTTACGAATATTATCCGTTGCTCGTAATGCTATCAAAAGTTTTTCTGGATTAGAGGGGATAGGTGATCATTTAGAAGAATTATGGATATCGTACAATATGATAGAAAAAACCAGAGGCGTAAACTTGCTTAAAGCGCTCAAAGTTCTATATATCGGTAATAATTTAATACGAGATTGGGTAGAATTCAATCGATTGCAAGAAATTCCTAATCTAGAAGATCTATTATTTATAAACAATCCTTTATGGGAAAGCATGGATACTGAAACATGGCGTACTCAAGCCATAAAGAGACTTCCAAATTTGAAGAAACTTGATTCAATACCAATAGTGTATGTATAGAGTGATTAGGTATTAAAATAGATAAAAAAAGAAATGAAACTCAAATATGTTTTTAGGCGCGCTACTGATGACGACGATGATTCATAAAATTCATCACATTAGATGAAATAAAATCAATTAAAGAACAAAATATAATGCATGTATTTACATGTGTAATGTTATTATCCCCATGATAAAAATGTATTACAATATCGTATTATTATTATTTATAATTCAATGTAATGGGTATTCTTCTTTCTTTGTACTTTCCTGTTATTATATTTGCATTCTTTCATATAAATCACAACATTATTCATAATTTTCTACTTTAATATCGTTTAGTCCAAGTTCTTCATTTTGTTCAAAGCTTCTTTCATATTTTGTGATTTTCAATTTATCATCAGGTCCGTCATCTGACAGGGTTTGTACAAAACTATTTCCAGCTGGATCATCTAATATTAAAGTTATTGTTCTTTTCCCTTCAAGAATGTCTGTTAGCTGTGATATAAATACTTCAATTCTATTAACATTTTCAGCATCTGTACTATCACCCATGAAGGCTGTAGATGATAACAATTGCTCTTTAGTTGCTGCAATAACACCTTCCACAGTAGTAAATCTGCCTCCTAAAGCTGCTGGCCCAACTTCTAATTCAAGTTCTGGTATTTCCATATAACATGTTTCAGACTTTAATAAGTCTCTGCTAAAATCTTCTTTTCCCGTAATGGTTACCTCTATTTTAACTCCTAGAGGCTCTACTCCTCCACCACTTTTAACTTCGTTAGTTCTATGACCGCATGCTTCACACATCGTTGCCATAATCACGACTTCTTTAAAATGAGGTATATCTATGTAAAAACTTAAGGAAAAAAATAATATATTTAATATCACAATTTTTAATTACAATTATAAAGCTACAAAGAGAGAGAGAGAGAGAAAGAAAGAGAAAAAGAATGATTAGCTAATTAATTGTAATCTCTGAAAAAAGGATACTTGTCAATTTCATATTAGTCTCACAAGGACTATTACAATCGGGACAATTTGTAGGGAAAGATAAAACTTCACCCTCAATATCTTCTAGCGTATGTTCTCCATCTTGTATAGGTTTCAAAAGAGCTTCTTCATTTTCGTTATAAATTCCTAGTAAATGATTTTCTTTTTCTGATCTCTTAAAGTAAGTAATTTTGCACTGAGAATCTTTAAGCGGTACATTTGGATTTTCAACATGGCAGTTTCCAGATATATCTTTAAAAATAATTGTAAATGGTTTGCTTAGTATTTTAAGATCTCGTAATCTTGTTAAAAATTTATCTATCTCCTCCGCGGTTTCTGGATACTCTTCTTTGCGTCTTGGTTGGTCTTGTTCCAATCCTTCGATACTATGATCTATTATACCTTCAATTGTAGTAATTTCTCCTTTTTGAGATCCCTGCAAGATCTCAAAATCTAGTTCTGGTAAGTGAACACTGGTAAAATCTGACTTTATTACTTGACGATTCAAGTCTCTTGGCGTGCTAATTTGTAAGGTAATTTTAATACCTTTTTCAGATATTTTACTTCCACTTTGAATTTCATTATTTTGAAAACCACAATTCTCGCAATTAAAAGACATTACCACAACATCTTTGTAATGTGGTATTTTAGTCAAGAGAAGTCTTGTAATGCCCTAAATATAAATGAAACAAGTAGTTAACAATGAAATATTATATATTTCGAATTTAACAATAATTTATCTATCTATCTATTTATCTTACATTTTTGCCACAATTTACACAAAGACTTTCTATTTCGGTAGCCTCTGGTTCAGGATCATCTGCCGTAAGATTACGAAAAAGTGGTTTACATACGGAATGAGGTTCTGCCTTCCTTTCGTTCGCTGCCATTTTTCTTATTTTCTTAGGTTATGTTTTACATTCTATATTTATTCTAATTAACCACGAAGTATGTTGTTAATCGGAATGTTTAAGAAGAGCAACTCGAATATAGAAAGTATAAACATTTTCATTCGATATTGTAAATAGATAAATTTGAGTAGATTAAAATCTATCTATCAATGACACTTCAAGGTAATAAAAAAAAACGCGGGAAAATGTATAAACATGTCTTCTAGTATCCTAACGCTTAAAAATATCGTTGTATTTAAAATTAATATACATTTTATAAGAATTAAAATTAAATGCTTATGCATTTCGTATTAGTTTGGATTTATTATTAAAATAATGGTTGACGAAGAACTAATTAAAAATATTCAAGCGACTTTCTCTCTTTATGGACTTAAATTGTCAAGGTAAGAAAATAGTTGATTAATAAATCATTAAAATAATTAATTTTATATATAATAAATATTAATGTACTTTTCTAATTTATACAAATTAATTTCGTTTAGAACACTCGGTCATTCTATGGCCAAAGAATTATTAAAAATAAATGAGTCGGAGAAAGATCAATGGCTTACAGGTGTAATAGAGCAAATATTAACTCAAAATTTGAAAGATCCACATGTGGAAGTTCATCATCTTAAAATTGCTATAACAGATTTTATGAGATCAGATATATTGAAAGAAACTGAGACAAGATTAAATGTTATTGATGCATTTGATATACCAAAAATATCATACGATCTTAGAAAGAAAAAATTTGTATTGCATAAAGTTTCAATGAACTTATACTCAGAAGTAACACAAAAGACTGTAATTTTTAAAGAGAGGTTTGAATTTATAAAATACAGAGTGTTAAGACATGAATCATTTCTTTTGCGATTTTTTGGAGGAGATCTAATATCCAAAATAAAATTAACAGAAATTGAATCTTTGGAGAGCTTGAATAAAGCTGAAAATCTTTATTTACTAGGGCTTATATCTGAACTTTCTGAAAATCAATATTTCTTGGAAGATCCAGGAGGATCGATAAGAATAAATTTGAATAAAGCAATATCCTTTTTAAACTAATGTATAAAAAGATGAAGTTAATTTTATCTATATATTAAATTTATTATATTTGTGTATATTTTTTCTTTACAATTTTATAGATACATTTTTCAAGATGGTTTAATTCTTGAAGGTTCTATAGTAATAGTTAAAGCTAATTTCTCTCATGGGATGTTAAACGTTAAAGAAATTGGATTTCCACCAGCAGAATCATCTGAAAATTCGCGGGCAGATTTTGGAGATGTTAATACATTTGGTGGACCTCATCCCACATTATTAAAACTATCTGAAAAGTTGAAAACACTTGAACAATCCGATGAAAGAGCAAGGATGATATTTCTATCGGATTTGTGGCTTGATCGTACAATTGTATTAGATAAATTTAAACTTTTGTTGGAAGCATTTATAGACTTTCCACCGTCAGCATTTGTAATATGTGGAAATTTTTTAAGTTTTCCCGAAAATGAATTCAGTCCAGTGGCAATGAAAGATGGTTTTAAGAAATTAGCCGATTTAATAGTTCAATATCCAAGCATAAAAGAATCTTCTAAATTCATATTTGTACCAGGTCCTTGCGATTTAGGTGCACCGAAGATTGTACCAAGAAGACCATTATCTAAATTTACAATCGAAGATATCGAAAAAGTTATACCTGGAGCTATATTTGCCAGTAATCCTTGTAGAATTCAGTATTATACTAAAGAAATTGTGGTATTCAGGGAAGATATGTTGATTAAAATGTGCAGAAAAACTATACGTTTTCCTAGTGAAATTGAATCAAATATACCTAATCAAGTAAGTTTTCTAATACATATAATATTAATAATTACAATTATGTTATTAAAAGGAAACTTTATTTGATTTGTTCCAGTTTGCTAAATCTATTATTTGTCAAGGACATTTGATTCCTTTACCACTCCCAGCAAGTCCTGTTTATTGGAAACACGATTATGCCTTACGTTTACATCCTACACCTGATGTAATTGTAACCGCGGATCAGTATGAACCATTCTGGAGTATTTTCTCTGATTGTCATGTGATAAATCCTGGATCATTTCCAAATAGTAAGTTTTCATTTAAGTGCTATGTACCTGCAAACAATGCGATTGAAGAGTGTGAAGTTTAAAGTACGTAATAATTTTTTAATCATATTAATTATATAAAGAATAAAATATTACTAAATAATTTTCCTGAATAAGTTGTTTCTTTTTTAAATCAATCACACCCGAAAGTATTCATCAGTTAAGTATTTATTAATCTTTTAAATAACAAAATCACGTCAGTTTACAATACTTAATAAACGTTTATCTAGTTTATAACTTAAGCTACAACAAATGTTAACGTTGTGATTATATGTATGTAAAATTAAATAAAACGTAAACATCGAAAATAATTTATAAGTTCATGTATCGAGGATATCAGGGTACATTTTTAGGTCCTCTATATTCAATAATACAACACGAAAGAGTATTTCAAAAATAACTTATTAATGTTTACTAACATTTTGAATACATCCAATAAGTTTAACATTGTAAAATGTAATACATATTTATGTAAACTCTCCTTATCCTTCTTTTCGTTTATAAATGACAATAAGTTTTGAACTAATAACATAATTTTACGTATTAAAATTTTTTTAAAGAACATGATATAAGTATTAATTTTTTAAAAATCTTTTCCATTATCGATTTTTATAAATAGGTACGTACAATACTAAACATTGTGGGCTCCTACAACTTCACAGTATATATATAACAATATTACAAGTACAGAACGGGTCTAGATATTTCTCATCAATACTCGTACTGGAAGTATGAATGATTCTCGGTAAATTAATTGTGGCGTTTTTGTTTGAAAACATATAATTTAATGATAAAACCAATAATGCCACATGAGATTGCATAACGAAAATAGAAAATCATTTAATGTAGTATTCTTCACTTTTAATTGTATATAGATGTAATTATCTATATTCAAGAATGAAGGGAACTGTTAGATTACTCAAATTATACGAAAAAGTTGCATTTTTTTTCAACTTTACAGAGAAAAAGTATTCAACACCTGCAAAGTAATAAAAGTGTACGATATTTGTACGGAGAGACAAAAAGAAAAGAAAAAAAGAAAATTAACTAAATAATAACCAAAGGAATATATTAAAGTTGTTATTTGAAATATTTAACAATAAGTTTTTCAGCATAAAATCATGTGTGTGTGTGGGGAGGGAGAATTCCGTTAAGGATTATGTTAACAATGTAAGAATTGCAGGAGGTATTACATATACTTAGAGAACGTCGAATGTAGTATGTATATTATATATTACAGTACCATTCGTAAAAAAAGGAACGTTGTTACGTCTATTGCACAATTCTTACACGCGATAAGCTTTAAGTTTGCATTATCCTTTATATATAATATAAAATTTATCGGCTAAATATATTTATATAGGTAATACATAATAATACATAATACGTTTTATGTACCAATGCTTCTTTTTCATATGTAGCTATATACAGATGTGTAAGTCCAATAATTAACGTTACAATTTCAGTCGACGGACGGTCTAACTGTCCTTCGGACTCTGTGTCTCACGAACCCTGCGTTTGCGCTTGCGCTTGTGCGATTTGTTGTAGTTCTAAAAAAGAAAGAAATAAACAAGGTTAAATATTGCGTGAAGAAGGAAGATACTTCGTAATTTTTTTTCCATAAATATGATTAACTTTATCGTTTACACTCTACTATCCGGAACTAAATCTTCTTTATTTTTCAAACAAATTTTTGAACATATCTCTCTCTCTCTCTCTCTTCGTTAGTAGTTTTGTTCTTTTTTTTATAAATTCCTCTTCATTGACGTGATCATGTATTCATTTTTTCTCAAACAACAAATGAAACAAAGATTCAAAACGTAACTTATATCATTCGTTATATTTCATTTTCAATTTTGAAAAGAAAAAAAAGAAAAAAAAAAGAAAATTAATATCGTTTTTATTTTATTTACATTTGTTATCATTACCATTGAGTTTAAATAGATTAAAACATGTTAATAGAAACTATACTATCAATAGGAAAATTATACTCTTAAAAAAAGAATTGAGAAAAATTGAAGGGAAGATTCAATCATTAACTTACTGTCGAGTTGATACCTTCGGCAAGCTTGGTTCCTTTCTTCAGCATCAAAGTACCACAGTGTGATTGCATATCGCGTTTTGTATGCTGGTTGTACTTCGTGAGGATTTCTTCTATCTGACCAAAAGAAAAGTATTCTGTCGAATATAGGCTCGATGTCGGCTACTCGGGCTCCGCTCCAACCTTCTGGAAATATCCTTAGAAGGCCACCATTTGTCTGTAATTATAAAAAAAGTAAACGATATAAAATTATTCGAATAAAAATAATTATAATTGATATAAGTTACATTTTCCTGTATCATTATTGTCGATAAAAAAGTACGGTTCTTTATTTAATTTTTTTTTTTTATCATATATCTATCTCTTGAGTCTAAAATTTAAGTTTATTGCATAAGTCACGAAGATCCAATATTTATTTACGCGAATACAAGGTAAAGAATACATTTTTTAAACAATAAAATAGAATGAAATTGAACAAATTCATATACATATAACTTATAAATGCGTGACTTTAAAGTTACATGATCAAATGATAGAGAGTCAATGATTACATTTCTATGTTATGTTAATAAGGATTAAACCAAAAGACAGCTTATGTATCAAACTTTTGTTCTGTTAAGATACCTTACACCTGGTACGACTAAAGTCCTTGAACAGAACATGTGTTAAAATTCTTCCATATTTATCGTGTAGGTCAACGTAAATATTGCTCAACAGGCAATCAAGCGAGCAAAGTCAAACCATACGAGTTTCTGCTGTCTATTGAATGTGGGTGTACGTTGAATTCAGCACGTAAGCATCGAAAACCCTTCATACCTTTACTTCTCCTATTTTTGATACGAAAGATGCGAGATTTTGTATCGTGATATGAAAACGAGCAAGAATTTGAATTATTTTTTTTCAATGAATACGAACTAACAACAGACTTACTAACTGTTCGATATTTTTATTAGAACATATTCTTAAAAACAAGACAATTTAAATATATCTCGTTAAAAGTTTGTTTCTCGATGACGAATATGCGTATAAATGCGTGAATCATAGGCATGAATCGGCAATGTGTTATATATATGATTCTGTATCTATGTTACATATCTGAAATATACGTGTGTATATATATAACGAAAAAAAAAACGAATTGAACAAGATAAAATACTATTTGATATGTTTTATACTTTAAATAATGTATATTGAGAAGTATACGAAGTATCTACTTTTTTTTTTATTATACATTATATATACTTAGCGTTTTTTTTTATATATAATTCAATATGGCTCCTGAGGAGACACTGAAATCAATATATATGAGCTTTCTTTTCCCTTAACGTTAAATAAAATAAAGATTTTATAAATGTATTGAACATTTACATATTGTACATACGATTTAAAGAGTGGAATTTGGTAATTGAATACATGAAGTAACAAAAAATATGTGTACAATTAAAAATTAAAATGTACCTTACTATCCCAACCTTGATTAAGATAGTAAATTGCTGTGATACATCGTCCATCTCGGTTAGGATTATCCACATGCTTTACATAACGGGAACCGTACCCGGGGTAGCAAGCAACCATCGCCTGGAAAAGAAATATAAAAAAAGATAAGAGAAAAGGAATGAATGCGAGTGTCGTCGTGTTATGTCGTTGAAAACGTAACAAAAACATCATGAGTGAGTGAGAGAGAGAGAGAGAGAGAGAAATCTTATTCCCATTATCGAGCAATGACCCACATAAACCGAATTTTGAAACTACAGTGTACATTTGTATATTCGTATCTTCATTTTGATGTCTTCTGTAACGTCACGTAACTTTAAAGTCCTCCTTTACATGTACGTTTATATATAATAAAGTTTGTGTGTGTGCTAAATATAAAATTTATATTTACAATTAGTATAATATAATTATATTCATAAAATTTTAATTGTATGATTTTCTAATTGAAAAATCACATATTCCTTTTTAAACAAATACCACGTTACATAATTTGTTGTTAAACAAGAACAAAAATTGGGTAATAAAGAATTAAGAATTCCTAACAACGGTTATTTGAATAACTTATAAAATTTCGTTATCTTATTTTTGAATTTAAAATAAGATAGAGTTAAAACGGTTTCTTTTCCTTCTGGTTTTAGAGAGTTTTGATAGATATTTATAAGTTTCGTAATAGGAATGACTAAATGCCAAGAAAGAACATTACTCGTTTCAAAACATGCACGCGTCTCAGCAAAGAGGAAAATTCGATAACAAAGCATATCAAATGTTCCGGGTATTCCCGTAGTTTACTATTATTCAAGAAAAATGATATCGATAAAGCTTTGTTCTATGCTTTGAGACTTTTTTTTTTTAATTAATCGTACAAATGAGGGATAAATATTTTTTTTCACGGTATTTATGAAGAAAATGAATATATACATATAAAACATATAATTTTTCGAAAATGATTTTATATCATATATTTTTTGTATTAATTACAGTTAATGCATAAGGATTAAAAATGGATATTTGTAAAGAATACGTGCTAGTGAACATGTGCGTATGTTTCTATGGGATTTAAAGATATGAAAAATTCACAGATAGTTAAAGCCATACTTCCGGAAAGGGCAACACTAGTCTAACTGCCCTTCGTGCGAGTAATCACGTATATATCTCTATCAATTGGAAACACGTGTGAGGCCTTGGCCCTACGCGCATGTCCTTCGTTTATATTATCTCTTTGTTTATCTGAAAATCTTACATACGGACGTTCTATATCTAATTCCAAAAAAAAAGAATAAATTTTTATTTAATTAAATCAATATCTAGAGTGAGAGAAGAGAAGAGAGTTAAGTTATAAAATCAATATCATGCACACATGTATTGAATTTGATTTAAATTTAATTTTTTTTAGTACAATGAATTAATGTTTTTAAAATCTTATGTTATTGTTCTTATTGTATTCTACAACGAGAAAGGTATATATTATTTAAATATATATATATATATATATCTATAAGCAAGTAACAAGCAAATAATGGTAATTTTCTCATCGCTATACTTTACTTGAAGATTTAAATAATAATAGTCTGAAGACTTTCAAAGTTAAAAGGTCAAAGTTAACAATATATTATTTCATGATAAAATATTCTACCTAATGAATATTTAATATTTATCTGAATCGAAGTACACATCTTTTTAAAAATGGCTAACTATGTATTATTTACATTACTTACTACTAATTATATAATTAATATTAATTAATTAATAATACGGTTTGTGTTTTTATTTATCTTCATTTTTAATCATAGGCTTATTATATTTTTAATACAGATATACAACGTGTTACTAACACATTATATATATTTTTTATCATAGAAAAAAGATTGAAAGGATAACACAAAAATGAATATTTAGCTTCATAGAGAAGCCCCTTCTCTTTTTTTCCCTTCTCCTCCCGCTAACTAAAATAAATTAATGGTCGTAGACAGATGTAAAATCCATAGATAATGAATAAAAACCACGACATTAAATTGAAGTTGTATAATATTTTATCGAAGATAGTGACGTACCATAACTATGAAACGTAAAAAGCACGCTCGACGTATGTATCACGTGTACAATGCACGTTTCGTATCTACTTAAAAAATAACAGTCTTTATTTATTTGGAAATAATTATATATATATGTATAGATAATAATAAAAATACAAATATTTTAATTCAAGAGGAAAGAAACGTTTTAGTTTGGACCATAGCACGTACGATCATTGAATTTTAATTTTATAGAATATTTTGTAAGAGAGAATAAAAAAGAAAAATGTATACGTTATTATAACATGTTAGATAATCAAACTCATTGTGATCGCATCGATATCTGTAATAATTTAACAGAACATTTATAATAGATAAGAATAACGTCTAAGAATGGAATCTGTTAATAAAATATCTTGAAAAATATTTGCTCAAATGGAGAGAGTTGTTTTAAAACGGATAAAAAAACAAGTTATTAGAAATAATTGAAAAATAATGAGAGGAGATATTAGTTATCCTTTAAGAATAATAATAGTTCTACTTTTGTATTTGTCGTTAAAATTAATTGAATATTTTCTTTTTCTTCCTCTTTTCCTTTCTTCGCTTCTCCTTTTCTGCAAAATAAGAAATACTTAACTAAATGAAGTAAAAAATTCGTTTTGATAAGAAAAAGACAATCTACTAAGAGTAATACGTGACACGATAAAAAGCAAAGCGATAATTGTTGCTTTTTTGATTAGCTACGATGAATATAACACAGTCTAATAAATATCATTGTAATCTTAGGTCGAGGTGGGATTACAAACGTACTCTATAAAATAAAAATAGGATATAAGAATGTTGTCGTCGTAAGATTTCTTTTTTTTTGCTTCTCTTTTTATAATCCTTTTAATAAAATTCAAAATTTAATTACTTGTCAAAATCATCATTATATTTTCACGTTTCCAAAAATATTAATCATATTTAATTAATTATCGTGAAAACATTTCTATACGAGGATAAAATTTATTGTCATTTTCTTTCTTGGTTTAAATCATAAATGTAATTAGACGAAACGTTGTATATATTACGCATCGCGAGAATTAATTTTAAAACGAAACGATTGTTAGAAAAGTTCGTCGTATAAAAAGGTTAAAACGTAAAAGGCATCCTAAAAGTTCAATCGTTATCTTAACTTGATCTAATTTTAAATCAATCGAAACAAAATTTTATAAATCTTAAGATAACTGTACAACATACATAAATTACACAAGATTAATCTAATTTCAAATAGGAGTACATATCAATAATTGAAGAGAGAAAGAGAAAGAAATGGATAAAAAGAATATTAGAATCGATTGCCAAATGGAGCAAATAAATCGTGTTAGAGGATAAGCTAAAAGAAAATATTTATCGAATGATCAAACACTTGCGAATCGATCAATCGATTGATCGTTCGTATGTTTTAGCGCTTACAATTAGTTAATTTATTATATTATTGTTTTTAGCTTAAATGAAAATGTTTAGACTTTTTTTATAATACATATCCAAGAATTTTACGATATTACTTTTTTTCACGGAAACATAATTGAATTATTATCCAGAAAAAGAAGGATTCGAAGATCACGTATTTTTATAATAATACAATTTGTTTGAGTTACGTGTTTTTTTCTCAGAAAAAAAAGGTCTTTTTGTCTTTCGATTAATTCTTTATATTTGATGTAATTTAAAATTTACGTAGATTAGCGATTAAATGGTAAATGTATGATTTCGTTTGAATTTGAGTATCGATAGATTCTTACTCGATATTTTTTTTTCCACCGTTATTAATATTTAAGTTTTCGACTTTAACTTTTTTATAGTTTGATATTCGATCGTTAAATATGTATCGATTGTTCAAAATAGGCATCGAGAGTCCCTTCAATCCCGAATCTATCGGTCTAATAATAAACGTCGCAGAATGTGTACACGCGCGTGCGTATGCAAACTAGTCAAGAATCTAAACGAATTATACACACATATAAAAATATTCAGAAAACACCATTTCAAACTCGAATAACTTCCTGTTTCAAACTAGACAAATGGTAAATCTAAATTTTTGAATAAACGTATAGACACAGAGAAAGTTGAGTGTGCTATACGAAACCCATGAAAAATTTTAAATGAACTCGTTTATATTTGATTTATTTTGTATTTTATTGTAGCTAAAAAAAACTCATTAATTATTAGATATCTGCTTAATATTCAGAATTTTTTTTAATCGATTTATAAAAAGTTATTCTATAGAGAAAACTGTCCAAATATCTTGCTCTCTCTCTCTCTCTCTCTCTCTCTCTCTCTCTCTCTCTCTCTCTCTCTGTGTGTGTGGGGGGGTGTCACCTAATACACTATCATTATATATACACAACTTTATTAATTTTATTTTGAATTTCGACATAGAAGCTATGAATTCTGTTATTGATAATAACGAAAATAATAATAATAATAATAATAATAATATTTTATATGTGTAAAGAGCGATATTAAAAATGAAGCATACAATTAAACTTTAGAAAGCACAATAAAATAAATAAAAGAAATAACTGCTAACTACTTTCATCTTATTAAAAATATAAATATATCTATTCCGAATCACGATAAGCTTTGACGCAGTTAACCGCACACCTCTCCTTTCGCAAGACGTTCACCTTCAGGAAGGTTAGAGAACAAGAAATGCAATTTCTCGTGTGATTAAGCTCTTGATTTTCGGGGAAAAAAAGAAACGCAAATAAAACCACCGTCATTACAGGTTTTGAATATAAGTGCACACATGGCGCATACATTCATACCTATGTACGCGTACGTACGTAATGCGTACGAATAAAAGCGACTCGTGGGTGGTTTGGCGGATAAACGTAGATATTGGTGGGGGAGGAAAGAATGGGGGAGAGGGAAAGGCGTACGTGACCGACTGCACTTCGTGAGTTCTATCTTTCCCCCTCTCACTCTCAAGCGTTATTCGTTCAACGTCCGAGATCTTTTTCAAAGATCGCGACGATTTCAGGATCCTGACCTTCTCCACTAAAGTCCTACTCTTCCTTCTACTTTCTTTTCTTCCCTTTTGTATCTTTTTCTCTTCTGTACACTTTTTTTTATACTCTTTCTACTGGTTCTCCTTCCTTCTTTCTTTCTTTCTTTCTTTTTTGCCTGAAGTCTTACATGACCAACACTATATTTTTTTCTTTTAGATTCTTAGATCATGATTTATCAAAAAACTTGATGATTGTAATTGAAGTATTAATATTATAAAATAAGTTATATTTTTTTTATAAAATGGAAGTACAGGCAACTATAATATAAAATATAAAAATAATTTATATATATATATATATATATATATATATATATATATATGTTTGAATAGTTGCTCGACCAATATGACAAAAATTAATTTTGACTATCTTTCTTTGTTAACCTATTTCTATCTGTCTAATCAACGATGTAAATAATCTCAGGACTGGAAAAGCTTATGCGAGAACAGTTCGGCTAATTTTACAACTGATATTCGATCGCATTGACCATAGAAGAGAAAGAATACACGTACTTACTCATTTGCTAAGAAAACTATCTATTTGTTTGCACAACTGTTATTAAAACATTTCAAGTTTGCGTTACTTCTAACGGAATAGTCGATATATTATTGCACAAAAACAAATAATTCTTCTTGTGCTTTATAATTACATCTTTTTAATATTATAACAAAAAATGGTCAAATATTTAGCGAATCTAATTTCAGGAGATTATTCGAGATATCGATTCTATCGATACGAATGATAATACAATAATTTCAATTTCTATTTACAAATGACGAATAAACGTTGGAACGTCCCGAATTTGGGTCATTTAATATGTACCTATTAAAGACATCGTTTTTTTTTTTTATCAAACAACAAATAGAGAAATGATTTGACGATATACAAAATACTTAATTATAAGTAATCATTAATCTAAACTCATCGCTCGATATTTTAATTGAATAAATTTAAATGTTTATGATCACACAAATATATATTCTTTTTTGCTTACCTTCGTTCTGCCATTAATTAAATATTCTCCCATTTTCCCATTATTGGTCATTTTGTTTGCCTTCATGATAACAGCATCGACCCGCGATATAAGCATGGCAATATTTGGACACTGTCTTTCCTTTCCATCCAACCATGTTATCTGATCACCTCGAATTGTTTTTAAGTCGTTTGCACTAGCCTTATTGGAAACCAATTGTCCATCCTTAAATAATCCTGAACTGTACATACTTAAAACTTCTTTTAGCACTTCATTGCCACTTTCATAGCCTAAGAAATTGTCTATCACACTCACACCAAATTGGTTCATGTCTTCAACCACATTTTGACTAATAGTATCTATCATTGATTTTAAATTGTTCTTATTCATATGCAAAAAAGGAGTTGAAGGATCATCTAAGTGTAATTGAACGCTTTGAAATTTCTTCATGCCATTGTGGTATTGCGTCGGCATATTTAATTCCGAATCTTGTATATTACCAAGAAATCTTGAACTCACTTCTAAAGCAGGATTTAATAATTCCTCTCTAGCTCCTAAAATGGTATCTTCTGAACTACCTTCATAAGTTATAGGAGAAATCCTACCATCAGCTTTGATAATTTGGCTGCTCTTCGACTTTCCGTTCTGTTTATCCTTAAAAGTTTGATCTTTACATTTCTGATTAACTACGCTCTCAAGTTGCTTTTTAGTATCTGTAAAAAAGAATCAAACCTTATGTTAAAAAAAAATTAATCTCTTTACAAATCATAAAACGGTTACATTACATTCTATATAAGTAAAGCAAGTTAAAAATTCAAATATTTCAAATTATATATAGAACAATGCGAGAGTCTAAAATTAATGTCAGGAAACAAATTGTATGTGATATCAAAGATTTAAATTTAATTTGAAATTGTCGTTTTGTTTATAAGACGTCACTGACATTAAAATAACTCTAAAATTAAATATACGTTGCATTGTAAGATTAACCTAGGAATGATAAACAGAAAGACAAAAATACGAAAGGTAAATAGAAGTAGAAAGAATGATATTATACCTTGAATTGATTTCAAAGAATTAGAACGTAAAAAATCCTTGTTTTCAATCTTTTTTTGTAAGGTGCAATCACCGACGAGATTTGCAATAACTTCGTTGGTAAGTTGAGATCGGTCGTTTAGGTTAGAAAGCGACCGTGTGTTTTGTTGCGTCTTGCGTTTATTCGAAGAAGAATAATTGCCAATTACATCTGAAGCGCAATCTCTGTCTGTGTTGTTTGTGGGAAAAACGGTAAGCGAAGAATCATTTGACCAGGATGTTTGAGTTCTACAAAATTCTTTGTGACGTTTCCAATCACGTTTTTGATGTTCTTTCGTACAATAGAAAGCGGACTTACACCTTGAACACCTCAACAATTTCTCGGTCTTCTCGCAAAGCGCACAATGTACCGCATGTACCAGAGAATTAATATCATTACCACCTTCGGCTGTCTGCGGACGACTAATCATCGGCCCAGACATCTTTCGCCGTTTATTCCGTCGCCACGAGTGCTGCCGCTACCGACGACATTTCTCCGATGTGGGAAGTCACACACGCACCCGTCTCCCCTCCTTTTCCTTTTCCTCCTCCTTTTTCACGTGAGGAATAACGAGCGCGCTATCGGAATACCGCAGTATTCACTTACATATACTACCTTAAAAAGAAAGAGAGAAAAAAAACATAGCTAGAGGCAAAGTATCCGTGAAAATGACGAAGGGTGTGGGGAAAGGTGAGGAAGACAGAGCAAAGACAAGAACGCAACTGCACTAATATCAACGTATTCTTCTACATGTTTACTTTTTTTATGCCTATAAAATAGCACGTGCAGACTCTGTGTAAGCCCCTGTAAATGAATTCGAGACACTCTCAAGCGAACGAGAAACCTGAATCGAAAACTAATAATATTTTTCATCTACGATCATCGAAGAACAAAGAACAACAAATTAGACGCATTTCACTCGTTCGCCGCTCACTTAGCTTTCTCTTTTTCTCTCCTCTCTCTTTGTTGCTGATCTGCCACAAGGGCGCGCCACTTGACAATTCGTCTCTACGAATCAGAACGCGTTTTTCCAACTCGACGTTAATTCTTAAGGATATTTTATTTATATATTTTTATTGCAATATTTTATGTTCAAATTATTATTAAGTTTTATTTTTAATATCTTATTATAAATATTATTGAACGAATATTTCTAAAATTATATACGATTTATTCTTCCTCTTTTCGGTCTATTTTTTAATTTAACGAACAAAAGTTCAAAAGAAAACATTTCTTTTCATATGATTCATCTCATCCATTGATTGTTAAGTCGTAAACATATCTATATACGTCAGCAGTCAATAATAGCTTAGCCGTCAATTTCAGATCAGTAGGAAAAGATTTTCTCATATACTATTATTTTATTTGTATATAGAAAAATATGCTTGTATTACACCAATTTGGATACATTTATATGTATTGAAAGCTTGATACATTTGGACAGGTTACAGACGAGTAAGAAGTTGTTTTGATTCTTAAAAAACATCATTCTTAATCCATTATCTTAGAATTAATAACAATTATGCAGAATAATAAAAATATAAAAATTAACTTATCTTCGACTTTGAAATTTTATATGAGAACCCACTAATTTTTATATGTATATAGAAATATTACCCTCTAGATTGATTATTATGTCTCAAAATGTATTAATATTTCTAATACACAATTGAATGAATGCCTAGAAACGTGATAAATTACATTTCAACAATTTCAATAATTGTACCCAATAGTGTGTTGCAATTAATAAGTTATTTTATCATCATTAGATTATCCGAAATATATATATTTATTCCAAAATAGAAGAAAGAAGTTTTTTATATCAGTGTTTTTTATTTAAATTTTGCAGTAAAAGTGATGATTTCTTTTACGTTTTTTTTTAGTAAATTTTATGAAATATGACATACGTCCTTTTTCTAGACTCACATTCGATTATATTTTTTCCTATATATGATAGGATAAGATTAGTAGACATTGAACATTTTCCTAAAGGCGTGGAATCGACAGCAAGAATATTATACAGATGTATTATATACATATATATGTTAGTGTTTATGTAGCATGTTGCGTGTAGTGTGAGAAATAAACTTGCTAGATGATACCAAGCGATAATTCTTGTTACTATGACGACGCGTTCTTTGGCTTGTCAAAACAATACACGTGACACGATCGTGTTTTACGTATGAAAGTTTTCGGGTCGCTTTTTATTAAGTGTAATCATTTTTATTAGAAATATTTAAAATGAATACCTTTATACAAAATGTATATATTAAAGATGGAGAATATACGAAAACAATTTATTCTATGGTACATTTTTGCTTTTTTTACCCCCTAACATGTTCTTAAAGAATATAATTAACTTTCTTATTTTTATATTGTTAATAGACTACTATTAATTGTTATAAATAAAATTGAAATTGTAGATCAAGGAACAACGATATGCAGACACAATTAAAGTGTTACTTACTCTTTTCGAGTCTCACCCTGATGTATGATCTGTTGATTAATATATGTATTTTTTGTTACATGCTATAAATAAATTGTTTTATGTATATATGTACATATGACTCTTTTTGCAGTCCAGACCTTGTTTATCTCTTCTTGCTCATTGTCATTTTTATATGCAAGACTTTGCAGCAGCAGCTACCTGTTACGAAAAGTTGGTTCAAATATGTCCAGAAGAAAATATATATAAGTTGTATCATGCTCAATCTTTGCATCAAGCTTGCATGTATCAAGAGGCTTGGTCGGTTTCCTTAACTGTAATTGATTCAAGTAATTTAGATTATAAAGTAAAAAAACTACAAGCAGCTATAAAGTATGGTCAAGAAGATATGGTAGCTGCAAAAAATCTTGTAGATCAATGTCCACTCGATGATGTGGATACAGAAGTAAATTTAGGATGTCTGCTTTATAAGGTATAACTCTAAAATATAAAGAAAAAATCAAATTGTATAGATATATTTTCTTCTTTTTCCAGGAAGAGGAATATAAACAAGCTTTAAAAAAATTTACAAATGCTTTACAAATTACAGGATTTAAACCTCATTTGTCTTATAATGTTGCACTCTCTTATTTCAAATTGAAAGAATATGCAGCTTCTTTAAAACATATTGGTAAAATGTCAATTTTAAATTACCAATAATTATAAACTATGCATATTTTATACAATGTTGACAATTGTATTTGTTCTATACTTTTGTCTATAGCTGATATCGTCGAACAAGGAATTAGAGAACATCCAGAACTAGGTGTAGGTATGGCAACAGAAGGTATCGAAGTTCGTAGTGTCGGAAACACACTTACTCTTCATCAAACAGCTTTAACAGAAGCTTTTAATCTCAAAGCTGCTATAGAATACCAGTTGCAAAATTGTAATTGCATAAAGTAAACTTAAATAAAATGTAAGTAAATAAAAAAAATGCATTGTTCTAATTATTCTTTGACTTTAAGATGAAGCTGCTAAAGAAGCATTAACCGATATGCCTCCACGTTCTGAAGAAGAATTAGATGCAGTTACATTACATAATCAAGCATTATTAAATATGGATATAAAACCTAGTGAAGGATTCGAAAAATTACAGTTTTTATTACAACAGAATCCTTTTCCACCTGAAACATTCGCTAATTTACTGTTGTTATATTGTAAATATCAGTATTATGATTTAGCGGCAGATGTTTTAGCTGAAAATGTACATTTAACATACAAGTATTTGACACCGGTAAGTTATAATATTATTGTACATCTTTATTGTAATCATAGTTTCATGAATTTTGTAATAATAATGACAGCAACTATCACACCTGTATGCTACAAAAATCTTAATGTAATAAGCTTTTATATAAGATAAACTTAATTCGTATGTTTTTCTCTTGAGTGTTTGCATTTTTTTGCTCGAGCTTCAGTTCTCTCGGAGTGTTTACGTTTGTAACTTTTAATATCCTGACTAGAACTATTGCTAGAATCTGTATCGCTTGTACTGCTGTTATGCTTTTTTTTCTTTTGCTTATGATCTTTTGATCTCTTCTTCTTACTTTTTTTTACAGTTTGCTCATAATCAGAACTACTATCGTCAGTGTGCTGCTTACTTTTCTTCGATTTCTTTCTTTTCTTAGATTTTTTTGTTTTGTGTTTCTTTTCTATCTTTTCTGTTTTTTCTGTTGCTTCTATTTTTTTGTCTTCTTGGTCATCCTGTTCCTTTGGAGTGGATGGTACATCTTCTACTTCTGGTATTAATTCATATTTCTTTCCATTAGGTGGGACAAAACAATCTTTAGCCAAATGTCCATGTGTCCCACACTTAGAACATGTCGTGTTAAAAACAGCTTCTAGCTGAATAGTTTTGCGTTGTTGTGGAACATAAGTTTTTTTCTTTTGCAAATCCCTTTGTAATTCAACTCCATTAGGATCCAAGTCAGTACCATTACCTTGATTAACATGTTTCATAGACAATCCAATTTTACCATCATTGCTCACCGATATAACTTTACACCACACTCTTTCTCCTTTTTGTAAAATTTCTGTAACGTCGTCGACGTGAGCCGAACTAACCTGATAAAATTTTCATTATTATAATTTTACTTGATATTACAAATAATAAAATATTCTAAAATTGATATTTATAATACCTGTGATCTATGTATCAACCCTTGTTGAGAACATCCAGGTATTTTAACAAAAGCACCATAATTTTGGATGGCAGCTACTTCGCCAAGAAATATTTGATTTACCTCACAATTTACCATATTTCTATAGATTCTTCTATGTTATATTATGTTAGAATAGCTTGATCGGTCTTTACGTATATATTATTTTGCTCTTTGTCAAATCGATAAATAACAAGACTTATAGGTTATGATTTATCATAACATAGGAGCATAGTGCTGTACCAAAAAATCGTGGTACCCACTTCATGCCAGCTAGTATTCCAAACATTTTTTTTTTTATTTATACATATTATAGAAAAAATATTTACTTATAATATAATTCGATTTTCTTTTGTATTTTAGTATTTATATGATTTCCTGGATGCATTAATTACACAACAAACTTCGCCAGAAGAAGCATATCGTAAATTTGATGATCTTGCTAACAAGCATACTGAAACATTGCGAAAGGCAACTAAACAGGTTCAAGAAGCAAGATTAAACCACGACGATAATGCTGTTAAAAAAGCTGTTACTGATTATGAAGAAGCATTAGATAGATATGTGCCTGTTTTAATGGCACAAGCTAAAATATATTGGGACAGAGAGAATTATGTGCAAGTAGAAAAAATTTTTAGAAAGAGCGTCGAATTTTGTAATGAACATGATATATGGAAATTGAACGTTGCTCATACTTTGTTTATGCAAGAAAATAAGTTTAAAGAAGCAACAGGTTTTTATGAACCAATAGTCAGAAAAAAATATGATAATGTTTGTATCTTTTTAATAATAAATTATTATATTTTAAGATAATATGATAAAATTATTTTTTCATTTTGTATAGATATTAGATACAAGCGCTATAGTGCTAGCAAATTTGTGCGTAAGTTATATCATGACATCTCAAAATGCAGATGCTGAAGAATTAATGAAAAAAATAGAAAAGGAAGAAGAGGCAATATCGTTTGAAGATCAAGATAAAAAGTTATTTCATCTCTGTATAGTTAATTTAGTAATCGGAACTTTGTACTGTTCTAAAGGCAACTACGAATTTGGGATATCCAGAGTGATGAAAAGTTTAGAACCTTATAATAAGAAACTAGGAACAGATACTTGGTTTTATGCTAAAAGATGTTTTCTCTCTCTTTTAGAACAATTAGCTAAACAACTTGTTGTTTTAAAAGATACTACTTTACAAGAATGTATTCAATTTCTAGAACATTGTGAAGGTTTATATAAGCTTTATTTATTAAATATTATAGTTAATTATAAACATATACCAGTGTTTCTAATTATCTATTTCTATTATCTATTTTAAAAATAGTACTAATTTTATAATTATTATTTAGTTTATGGACGAGATATACCTACTGTAATAGAACAACCTTTTGATGTCCAAGATATTCTAACAGTGGCACCTCAAGGAAAGCAAACTGTTGTATACGAAGCAAGGTATTTGAAGTCATTGTTTCTAAAGCTACAAATGTCTTAAAAAGGCTATACATATGGTAATATATGCAAATGTTCTCAATATTTTTATGTTTTAATTGAATCACTAAATATTTTAAGTGTTAAATAAATATTTATTTAATGAAAGAGAATAAGAATTAATTTATATTGCTTTATATCCCTGTATAAAAATCTTTTATAATTTTTATATAACAAAAATAATCTTGCAATTTATAACATGGATGAATAGATAAAAAATGTTTATCATATACATTTAAAATATTAAACAGAAAATAATTAATTATTTTAAAGCGTATTGCATTTATGAAATCATATTTTTAATTTTTTAGTTTAGAAATATAATTATCAGTACTATTATTTATACTCAAAACCGTGAAGAATCGAATAAATGTTTGGACTATTCTAGAAAGGTTTCTTATAATCCTGTTGAATTTGGAGTATTTTAAATGGACATGCGCGCGATAGTTTGCCGACTGTTGATAACTGAGCGCTGATGAAAACAAAAGAAAAAAGAAAAATGGTGGTCGATATGGAACTCCAAGAAGCAAAAGATGCGGTTCTTCAGCTTATGAAGGATAAAGATAAAATTGAATTGGAGATACGTATGTTTAAAGATATATTGGATAATGTATGTACCATTAAACTTATTATTTTATTATAACAAATCTCAATGATAATGTGTGTGAAAAAACTTGTATTTCAAGCAGGATGATCTGTCATATTCTTAAATAAAATAATTATATATTTTAGAACCATGTGGGTATGAATGATGCTTTGGTAGATTCTGAAGGATTTCCAAGACAGGATATTGATGTCTATCAAGTCAGACATGCAAGGAATCGGATAATATGTATGTCAAATATTTCAAAATATTATCGAACATGCAGTTTTATCATTTTTTTTGTATCGCTCTTTTTGATTCCTTTTTAGGCCTTACAAATGATCACAAAGCGTTGATGACAAAAATAGAAACGGGTTTACATAAAGTACATTCTTTATCTGGAAATCAAGTACAGGAGGCTTCAACATCCAGCGATATCGTTCAACCATTTTCATCTGAACCTTTTTTGAGAGTAAATTTAGTTTCGCCTTCTTCTCCAGCCGAACTAGCAGTAAGTTATAATGATATTACTTTAGATAAAAACGCTGAATAAATAGGAACCTAAAAAAAGCAACATTAATTATATCAATATAAACATACAGTATAAACATGATTTATAGCATATTTTTTCATTTTAGGGGATTCAAGTCAATGATTTGATCATTGAGTTTGGTTCTATTAATTATAGGAATTTCAAATCCTTAAAGGATATCGCAACATTAGTTGAGCATAGTAGATATAAGTCTTTAGATATAAAACTTAAGCGTGGATCAGATATCTTAGCCCTGACTTTAATACCACGTCCTTGGATTGGCAAAGGTTTAATGGGATGTAATGTAATACCTCTGGAAATTGTTGAAAGATAAATTGTTATTTTATAAATTATAAGAAACTTAATATATATATATATATATATATATAAAATTATTTTTATGTGTATTTAAATTGTCAGTAAATTAATATTTATAAAATATCATTTTTATACCGTTGCATATTTCAATTCCTTCATTATCATATTGTACATTTAATAACGAATCTAGATAAATTTCTTATAATCCTTGGAAGGGGCTTTGGTAATTAGCATTGTAACTCGATAAAGATAATCCATCTGAGTGAGTTTTTAGTCAGCATTCCTTGACAGTCGGCACAGTATATAATGGAAATAACTCTGTTGAATGTTAGTTAATGGAAAGTGGTGTCAGCAAGATGAATACCCAGGTAATCGTAAGTTATATTTTTATATTGTTCTTTGATTCTGTAATAGCATAGTTGAAGAAAATTATTTTCTTTTTTGAATACAGGTAACATTTTGTTTATTCGTTCTCGTTTTTGGGGTATCATGCGAGTCTACGTCTTTTGAACAATCTAGTTCGATACCCTTGACGTTTGTTTATGCTGTATATCCGTTTTATAATTCTGAAACGCTCCTTCAAGTTTGGAAAAATGACGAATCCGCTGAAGTTTACGCGAATGTAGTCACAGTGAATCCTGATGAACAGGAATATACTATTTTGAATGCCGGTAGTACGATCTCACGCAACGAAACTACGAATCCTAACGTGAACAGGAACTCCCAAGTTTTAAAAAACGATGCTGAAAATGTGAACGCCGATCGTTTGTCACAGACTAGACAGCAACTTCGTAATTACGTGAGTTCTTTGTAATTTATGTATATGTAAGTATAATACGATTAATTAAATTAAATTAATACATTTTAAAATGTCTAATTGGTAGAATTTTACGTTATATACATGTATATATATTTTTTCAAATTATACATTATTCACATACTTATTCAATATCTATATTGTTACAGAAAACTTGGCGCAGGAGTACAAATTTTCAAAATGAATAACAGATCTGTAAGATATTTGATGGAGGATGGATTGGGATTTACGAAATAATTATGCTGGTATATGTATTTTGAATATGTATTAAGTGCTTTGTAGTGAAAGTTATTAAACGCAAATGATATTAAAGATAAAATGTGTATTTAGTTTTCTTTTATTTTATAAATCTTACCATATATATTATAAATTTAAATTGAATTTTTCATCAAATTAGTTTCATAAGTTAATTTTCGATGCAATTAGTTGTTACTTATATACTTTTTATTGCTACTTATATACTTATATACTTTTTATAAAATAAAGAGAATGTGCTAGATCGAATAAATTTGTGATAAGACTGATGCATCATGCTAAGTATAGATATGTTACGCTTGATAAACTATTAGCGTAAACGTAAAGCTGTTACGTCAACGTCATTGGATTACGTATAAAGTATAGAGTACGTAGATACCAAAATATCCTGTTGATCTGAATGAATGGGCGTATCATTCAGTAAGATTATTTTTCAAAGCCACAAAAAAATTATAATTGTAGGAAGTAAAATGAAGGGAAACGAAAATAAACAGTTTAAACAACACAATATAATGAAGATAGAATGAAGCTAAAAATATAATTTTAACATAATCCGATTCGTCGGTTTTCCATTTATTTACATTTAAACATCAAGAGAGAATACGTATAATTTAATTTAATTTATTTCAAAATGATTTATCTTTTTGTTTAGTTTTTGGAGTAGGTAGAGCTGGTTCGTACATTGTTATCCTTCTCACAACTTTTGTTCGGCTGAATAAAAGCGCCACGCAATCGAGATTCGTTTTGTTAGAGTTCCACTCGCTTCGTTCGGATCAAGAACGAAAAGGGTGAACGCCCTTTATCATTTTGTTTCTCTATCTCCTTCTATTTCTCTCGATCTCTTTTCCCCTCTCTCTTTTTGGGGGTTGCGTTAGTCGTTGCACGGAAACTTGCGCGCCACGTAGCCGGGGAGGGTGGAAAAAGGGTTTGCGCAAGCATTCTGTAATTACGGCGATTCGCTGCAATTAAAGCTCGGTTAGCCTTAGCCACGGCACGTGGATCGCGTGGAGAAATCCATCTGCCTTCGCGATTTTCACCATTTCGAGTTATTCTTTATTTTGTAATGTAAAAAAGGGAACATTTTTCAAGTCTAACGATAATTTACGATAAAACGAATTTCTAACATTTCATAACAGATATCTTGTATAATTTACTTATACAAAACAATTATATATTTGTAATAGCTAGGAAATGTTTTGTAATTTTTCTTTTTTCTTATGATCACAATGCTTGTATTATTGAAGATATTATTTTGAGATTTTGATAAACGTACGTGAGAATGCACATAAAGGAATATATGAATATGTGACATTATAGTGAATTACATAGTCTATAAAAAAGTATTTATCATTTCATATTATTTTATAATAATTTCACGTAATATAAATGTCATATTTGAAATTGATATTAAAATATACAATACTTTTTATGAGGGAAGATATATATAGAGCTATATAATTCGTAGCAAGGATACAAGGATGTAATGAAAAAAATGAACTGAATAAATCCCACATACATCATTATTATATGCATCGCATTTTACATAATTTCACATAGTAAGTATAGAAAGAGCATAGGATCAATGAAAAAAAACTTCTTCGGATCGATTTTATGTTAGGATGAAACTCTTGGCTTGGAGCTATTCATAGCTTATTGGAGGAGGAAAATGGTGGATGGTTAAGGGCGTCACATTGGAATTATATTACCTTTGGCATTAATGACGTTCGGTTCAAACGATCGAGATAAAATTTTGCTAAGTTTCCTGTTATTTGTTTCGGATGATTTTGTAATATATCAAAGAGAATAAGACGTCAGTTTGTATTCTTAAGTTTCTGTTTCTATCTATATCTTTCTGTAACAATCTCTTTAACTATCTCTATTTGTATCTTCGTTATTCAGGTTAATGCAATTTCGGAGTAGGAAGTTTGGCTACTTGCCGTCGTATCCGACGAACATCAACCCATCCGGCTCTATTCGACCTTTAATACACGCTAGTTGCCAACTACTATGTGCGTAAACGTGCTCAGGAAGATTTCCACTGTCATCTCGAGCTTTGCTAATTAGTAGTCTGTTTCGTTCCTATAGCCCTTTCTCTCCCTTAATATCACGGAGAATACGTTCGCGGTGTTAACTCGTTTTCTGCCGGAAATACGCCTCCCTTAGCCACGATAAAGTATGGTCACTTTAGTATGTTTATTAAAGCAAATAAGGACAATGCTATCGGACGTTAAACGTGAGAAGCGAGAAACAGAGGATTTAAGAGAGTGTGTTTGTGTGTGTGTGAGAGAGAGAGAGAGAGAATGAGAAAGGTGTAAAAATATCTATTGTCCTTTAATCGACGTCTTTTTCATGCTTCAACTTTTTTAGAAATTTTCTCTGCACGCTTTTATATTCGATTACGTTGCGTTGGTAGCGATAGTAGCTTGTCAACTGATGATGATAGCAGTTGTTTTTTTTTTATCATGATTTATAATAAGAAGTAGACGTGCTTATTTATTATATAATTAATTATCCACGAGTATTAATTATTACGTCTAAAGATATGCAACATTTTTGATTACAAAGTAATCATAAAATAATTGTGGATAGATGGTGTGTGAATGAAGTTTTCAAACATTATTATTAACAGAGAAATAAAGAGTTAGTTTTTTAATAATTATAACAAAAAAAATAAATACAGTTAATAATATTAGGAATTATTTTAACTCCACAAAAACATTCTCATTCAGTTTATTCAAATTTTCGAAACCGTAAAATAATCATCGAGTTGATTTAGAATGAGCACACAATTGTTGAATGGCGCGAATATTTGCATGCGAATTGATTTAGTTTACATCGACTAACTATTTTTTCTTTCGCATATTTTTTTGCCTTTTCGAAACGAGTACTGCTTTGGAAAAAAACGAAAATAATTCGAATCGGATGGCGTTTCAACGATTAATGTATTTTTAGCTCTTGAAAGCGGAGAATTTTGTTCGTTCCGGCAAATAAAAAAGTACATATATAGAAGGATGTAGGAACTTCTATCCGATTTCAATTTTTCGGCAATATTCATTCTGCGAGGGGATTACTCACGTACAAATCGTAACGTGATTCCGAATCTTTTTCTCGTCTGTGAAACATAGCTCGAAATCCATTTCGAGATCATGAACAAAAAAACGTTTTGGAAAAAGTCGTTTCATACGAAATCGATCATTTTACAGATTTTCAAATTAATTTCGATACGTTTAACACAAAAGTTGAATTGTACTAGAAAATGTTATCGTACTTAGAACACAGTCTATATATGGAATATTTCAAAATAATTATTCTTTATTTTCGTATGTAATAGAGGATGTGCGATTAAAGTTCTTTTTCGTAATAAAATAATGTCGCGAAACGTTTCCTTTATTGAGATTATAAGATATGAGAAAAACTAGGACTTGAAATAATCTCAACTTGAAAAGTAATTCTTTTATTCTATTTTAATAACTATTAATTAGTGCAATATTACATAGAAATGTTATTAAAACAATGATAAAAATTGATTCTAATAAATAATGAAGCTTTGATGGTTGATACACAAAATATAGTCTCGTACGATTGAACGACGTATTATCTGAAATTTTTAAAAGCAACGATAATTCTAGCAACTAATTTTTTTTTCTATATCAATACGAATATCATTAACGATCGGTATAATGTTATTTCCCATTTTATTATCCAAAAAAGTGCTTAATTACATGTCTTTTGTTATATCTGAAAAATAGGAACAATTATTTAGAGATAGCTCGTATAAGCATTCTTTGTTAAGATTATCATTTTATCGATCGATTAATTTAATCAAGATAGAAATGTAGTGCAATAATAATCTTAGATTAATTAGCAAGATTAAAAATGTTCCATCGATCAATGACTGAAGGATCGTATATGATGAGAGGTCAACACAGATATCTGTCGTCTACCAGATGACATCGTAGGAGGAATGTCAAAGCGACCAGTTGCGTGACGTTTCCCACCCGCAGGATCCGCCTTGTAATAACTTTGGCCAAGCCACGCCGAAGGCATGTCCTTCCAACTTATACGTATACATAGACATCTTATATGTAGACGTTTACGTACACGTATTTACCATCGTGTATACTGCTATCTACTTATCTATTCGCTTCATTTACATGTACGTGTATCCGTAAACCCTTCTCTTTGTCGTTTAAACGAGATGTATGAGTTCACGTATAATTCATCGTTTTTAATATTGAAACCATTTTCATAAATTGTATCAGCTTAAAGTGACGAACAAAAAATATATGCTTTATGTATCATTTTATAGATTCTTCTATGGTTCCCAAATAATTGGTAAATTCGTATTGAAATAATTTAATTATTTTAATAATAATATTATCTGCAAGATTAATATTGAAAAAGATTATTATTTTGTTGTTAACACTAGATTTACGGATGTTTTGTTCATTATTTTTTAATGACGTAATAACATTGTTTGAATAAAGGATTGAGTAAAGGAATTGAACTAATATTTACGTATATTTCATTACGTAACTAAAAACCAATAAGTTTTCAAAAAATAGTATTTAAATTTTATAAATATATAAAATAATCAAATGTTCAATGAGTCAAATTGGCTCAATTCGTAAATCTAGTGTTAATAGAAAAATAATATTAGTCTAATTTTGACAAACGAAAAATGTATATACGATGTTACGTATAACGTGTTTCATGGTTTTGTTTTGTTTTCAGATAATAAATTTATGTGAAAATATATTGAAATTATTAGAAGATTTTGTTGTTAAATGAAATAAAAAAAAATCAATTTTATTATAAAATAGAATTTTTAGTAGTATCTTATGATACTTAACGAGTATCGTTGATATATATCATAGAATAGAGACCCGATACTTTTTGGAAGATTTAACGTCGTGACACGAAGATCGTAAGGAAAATGTGGTCAAAGATGTAACGGAATTACGTTTGAAAAGCATTTTCAGCACGCCTCGTCGTTTCCGTTCTCAGATTCTGTTCTCGCTTTCTATCCTACGGAGAAATGATAGATGGTCAGGAACTATGTCGCAAAGCGAGCGAGCTTCGTCTTTTTGTCGAAATAATCTCGCGGTAGAATTTTAGTGGAACGCGATAACGTCTCCGAAACGACCCTAGGATGTTCTAAAACGATTAATATATTACCAGCTCGTGGACGATATCTTCTTGGTCATTCTGCCATTATTAACGCATTTTGCTGTTAATTTTCTCATTTCGAGAGAATCACCGGTGCAAGAAAATCTAAATTATATAACTTCCCATAACGTTTATACTTATACACATAGATAAATATCTGAAACGTCATCTGCAATGTTAATCCATATTTTTACGTTGAACTTAAAAATCAACAGATTATTATAATTATTTCATTATTTATACCATTTTTGAGAATGTTTTTTTGACTTCAAATTGTGTCAAAGTATTTCACATCATTAAAATAAGTCTTAATTTTGATTATCATTCTAAAATATATCAACATTCGCGGTATTATTTAATTCGTTGATTTTGAATTTTCCGTAAAAATGATTTGGAAAGTATTTTTCGGCCTATAAATATATTTTACATTTTACAATAAAATAATCTACTCCTATTATGACATTTTTTTGTATTGTTTTTGTTGTTTTGTATACATTTTTCATCTATTCTAATATTATACCAGTCGTTTTAATTTATTTGATAAATTTAATAATTCACGCGACGTTAATTTGTTTTAGAAAAATTATTACTTTCTCCTTGAGCGAATTTACAATCATCGAATTTAAAATTGACAATACCCAAAGATTCTTTCATCGACGTGTAATCCTTCAGAATACCATTTAGTAAGTTTTCAAATTCATGTGAATTATCAACCGAAACGGTATATTTACTCACATTCTTTAACGTCCCTACCAATTTACTTTCCAATTTCGAGTCTAGAGTTTTAAGTTTCACATAAGAATTCTGTAAATCGCCAATTTTCGTTCTAAGATCAAAGTTCGTTTTTCTGAGGAGTGTAAGTTCGTCTTTCAAAGCGATTTTTTCAATTTTTAAGTTATCCACTTCTTGTTTAGCTTCGTCCAATCGTATTCCGAGCGTTTGCTTCTCGTTCCTGAGCTTTATCAATTCGACTTTAAGAGCTTTTAATTCATCGAAAGCTCGGCGAAGCTCACTAACGGTTTTCTCTTTATCGGTGATCGCAGCGTGCATGCTATCTCGCAAAATATCTATTTCAGTTTTCAAAGCGCCGTTAACAATCCTCATTTTCGAGAGAATATTAGTCAATGTATCAAACTTCTCTCTTAATTCCAGATCAGAGTTCAGAGTTTCGTTATTAGTTTCGTTTGACAATACAATTTGTCGACAATTTTGCTCGATTCGCGGAGACCACGTTTCGTTTTTTTGACTTTTCATATAAACGTTTCGAAATTCCGTAATTTCTAACTGATCCGACCGTTTGTCTTTTCCTAAATGGTCTTTGATTCGTGCCAATTCGAGTTTGATTTCCATATTTTCAGTTTTTAAATTGGTCAATTGAAATTTTAAACTTTCGTTAGCAAGTTTTAATTTTTTCGTATCGTTTTTATTCTTTAATTTGCCCTTGATCTTGATTTTATCACTAGATTTTTCACATTCCATCGCTTTTCTGTTCTCCGTCTCTTCGTTTTCGTACAATCTAATATCGTTTTCATCGTTAAATTCCAAGTTTTGTAATCGTTTGAGGAACTCGTTTGAACGAGCCTTCAATTCATCGTTCTCCGAACGCAAAGCTTCGTTGCTAACTAGTAGATTTCTCGCACGATTATCAAGTATTCTGTATTCGTTTTTCACTTTATTGTAATTTCCTTGCAATTCTTCGATTGTTCTCTTAAGCTCGGAATTGTTTGATTTCGTTTCGTCAAATTCGATTTTTAATTTATTCAATTCGACGGAAAGATATTCTCGTTCCGTTCTCGTTTTATTCAGGCAATCCTTCAATGAGAAGTTTTCCTCATTGAGTTCCTTCGTACGCGTCATCAGGTGATTCTTTTCCGTCGAGATAACGCGTAGTAGAGCTTCCGTTTCGTTATTCTTCATAGTCAAACCACTTAAATCGTCGCTGAGCGTTAAATTTTTTGTTCGAAGATCTCTTAGCTTCTCGTTGATTCTTTCAAGCACACTTGCAAACTCGTTCGAGCGTTTTTTCCAATTGTTCGCTTCCTCCTCCAACGACGATTGAATTATTTGGAATTTTGCCACTTGCTCCAAAAGCGAGTTATTTTTCTTATTCAACTCGTCCATCGTTGTTTTAACTGTCTTTCCTACGGCTTCTAACTCCAAGATCTCAGCCTTAAGTTTATTATTTTCTTTATCGTAACAATCAACTTTACTTTCTAGCGTTGCCTGTTTAGACAACAACAGTTCGTATTCTTCGCGAGTCTTTTCCACTATACTCGATCGTTTTCTCAATATTTCGTTTTCAGAAGTTAAACGTACGACGTCAAGCTCAAATCTTTTATTTTCAATATTTGTAAGATCGAGCTTCTTTTTCAAATCATTTATTGTATTTTTCACTTCATTCAATTCACTTTGTAATTGTCTTTCTCTTTCCGTCAATGTTCTCATTGACTTCTTCGATTCTTCGTTCAATTGTTTCGAGGTTGTTTCCAAACTTTTTTCTAGTTTTAATTTCGTAGTACGAATCTTAGATAATTCTTCGTTTCTTTCCATCAACAGTTTATTCATTTTTTCCGTTTCCGTGTACAAGTTCTTTTTATCGTTTCGTAGAGTCTGTAGGTAAGTTGATATAATGAACAATTTATACGATATGTAATATATATTATACGTATATATAGATTTAATGAAGAATTGTTACCTGTAACTGTGTTGTCAAGCTATTCAATTCGGCTTTCATTCGTCGAATTTCTTCCGATCGATTTCTAGAATCCTTTTCGAATTCGTCGATTTCCTTGCTAAGCTTCATGTTTTTCTCTCTCGTTTCGTCCAATTCCTTTTTACTGCATTCGAGTTTCTTCTCTAATACACTCATCCCTCTCATTTTATTCGATAATTCGACTTTTGACTTGACCAACAATTCTTCCAATTCTTCGATTCTTCCGAACAATTTCGTCTGGTTACCAGAATAAACGACACTTTCTAAATCTCTCGATTGATAATACAATTCGTTGATGAGTTTTCTCAATTCTTCGAGAGTCATCGAACGAGACGTTCGTGAGTTATCTTCATTTAGATTCTTATCTAATTCGTTGATCTTTTCTTTGTATCTTTTCAGCGTCTCATTCAACGCTGTTACTTTCTTCAAGTACTCGAGACAGCTTGTACCACTGAGTTTACAGTTAGCTACAGGCTCAATTTTTAAGCTACTAAGTTCGATATTCGTTTGTTCGATTATTTTCTCCAAAATTTCAACCCTTTCAACGTAACCTTTCTTTGTTTTCTCATTCTCATCGTCTTTATATTTCTCTGCCAGAGTTAAAGAATTTTCCAGTTCCTCGTGCAACTGTTTCAAAATTAATCGAACTTCGACGATCTTCGTTAAATAACGGAAACGATTAGGATTGCCAGTAGTTATAAGTGCACGTCGATCGTTTCTTAGTTTGTTCCTCAATTCATTAATCGTCATATCGATCTTTTTAATAGCTTTGACGTAATTCTCAAAATCGAAAGTATCATTATAAGAACTATCGTCAAGATTTTTCTTCATGAAACATACGTTTTTTTTCAATCCTCGCAGAATAGTTTTAAATTCAATTATTCTTTTACGATAATTTTCAGGATCTCCAGTCTGTATTCGTAACATTGCTTTGATTTTGTCGATCTCGTAACGCAGTTGTGCGTTCTCGCAATTCGATTTGTAGAGGTCTTCATTAGCATTAACCAATTCCTCCGAAAGATTTGGCACAGTTGTAGCCATTCTTTCTACGATATGTTTAATAATAATTTCCATCGTACGATCGCCGTTAACAAATTCTTTTAATTTCGATTTTAATTGACCTATCGTCTGAATTTGACCGTTACTATACCATCGTTTTTCTTCGGCTTCTTTAACTCGTCTTTTCAATCGTTGAATTTCATTATTAAAGCGTTTTTTCTCGCATGCAAATTTCTCTCTCATTTTAACGATATTATCACGCAATTTGTTGGCAGTACCTCGCATTATGTCGTCCTCAGCTTCGGCTAATACGTTTCTTAAATTATTTATTTTCATTTCGAAACTATCGTCATTTTTGGTGGTTGCTCTTCTCAGTTGCTTCGACATTTTTATGAATTTTTCTTTACTTTACTTTTCTATGGTTTTCTTCATAAATCTCGCGTGATCATCTTTAATTATTATTATTATTATTATTATTATTATTATTATTATTATTATTATTATTATTATTANTTATTATTATTATTATTATTATTATTATTATTATTATTATTATTATTATTATTATTATTATTATTATTATTATTATTAATATTTCAAAATTAAAGCTCCAATGTGCTTTAATCTTTTATTTTTTATTTTTCACAATAAATTCTCGTTTACTTGACTTTAATGACTTTTCAAAAAAAAAAAAAAGTGTACTAATACTATCGTATATCATGAATTGATTTTCCTTATCTGAATTAAAATCGATAGGGTTAAGTGGTAGTTAAGTAGTTAAAGTTAATTACTTTTTAGGTTCTCTTCCTTCCCAGGTTAGACACTTGTAAGATTAACGTTTTGGGAGATTAGAGAAGTGTACGATCTCGATTATATTAAAGATACTTCTCATTTCTTTGACGTTGACATTAATTTCTAACTGTTAGAATGTTATAAATAAAATCAATTATCCTAGAATAACACACCATTCTCATTTACTAAAGAAAATTTATATACCTTTCTTTTTTTATCTAAGAACCGGTGATTTTGATAAAAATATCTGAAGTTACGTTCAGAATATGTTAAAACAATATTCGATTCATCGATTTTATTACATCTTGTTGTTTAACTATAGTCAATGATAATCAATCGATTATATTATTATATATTTAAAGGGTCATTCTTGTCAAAAATTTTGGAAAAATCGAGTCTTTCTTTTTTCGCATTTATCGATTAATTTTTATATATTATAGTTTTAGAGACAGAGCAGCTTTTTTCAGAATTACAAAGTCGATTGCACTGAAATCTGTACATATAATATTAAATAAATTAATTTGACATGTAACCATTAGTTTCTCTATAAACTAAACTGAAAGCGAGGAAGTATTAAATTTCGATACTTCAATGTTGGTAATTGAAACTTTTTAGTGGCATGATGTTGAAGACAGCTTCGTTTGTTTTTGTTTAGAAAAACTTGTTTTTTTTTGCTTTATAAAATTATTTTTCATTAGTATAGTATAAGTATAATAATAATAATAATAATAATAATAATAATAATAATAATAATAATAATAATAATAATAATAATAATAATAATAATAATAATAATCCCCTGTATGGGCTCCGGGGTAGAATAGACCCAAGGTATTTCCTGCCTGTCGTAAAAGGCGACTAAAAGGGANAAAAAAAAAAAAAAAAAAAAAAAAAAAAATAATAATAATAATAATAATAATAATAAGGCATAAAATATTCATAACTTTGACTCAACGTTTCCAAAGAGAAAAGTAATTGGGAAAAGTCTTATTTTCGTGTCACTTGATCAGAATGATTAGATGATACCATTAGTTCGTATAATATATATTATTAATGTTTACATGTTATTAAGTCAATGACATTTTCTCTCGGTGTTTGTAATTATCGATAAAATTTAATTGATAATGTATCTCTTTTCGATAAAATCTTCAATGTAGCCGGACATGGCTCAAAGTACTCTCGATGTTCTCTAAAGCAAAAGAACGAGGGTATCGTTTTCCAAGTTACTCGATATCGGATCGCGTTATAAGAGACGATAGTATAACGAGAAATTGCGAAAAGGAAGCGAGTTCAATGAAACGAAGAAAATTTAACGCGAAGTCACTGTGTCGCAAACGTCGATATAATTCTTTGCTTGGAGAAATGAGGAAAGTTACGTTCTCGAGAACTGTTAGTAGGATTTTTCAAGAGAGGGGGATGAAAAAGCACGGGGGGGGGGTGCCTTAGATTCCAAAGCGAGAAACTTTTCAAGCTTTTTTAATCGCGCTTTTTCCGATATGGAATTTTTGTTCTTCAAGAATGAGACGTTTTATGATTCCTTGCACGATTTAATCTAAATAATTAACGAACGTATTTCATTATTTTTACGTACTTCCGATGACATTAAATTATAAATAACATAATCTATGTGACTCTGTTTTATCGTCACATTTACATCACAATGTAATGTTTCAGTTCTGTTCATATTGTTACAGAACACATATATAAAATAGTTATATTTTTTTTTGCTTTGGAATTTTAAGTCAAATTTATGTTAAAAAAGTAACTTCGAAATTATATAATGCGTTGTAACTGCATTGTTTTATACTGCATTTTGCATAATGCATCAATATTTTAATAGGAATATTTTTTTACAGACTTAAATTCCTTATAAGTATATATTTTCAGTGCATTAAATAAATATGTCTAATGGTTAGTAAACCACCGGTGGTACACGTGGCACGGAGCGTGTTAATTATAATTTATATTATTAATTTATGTTATATTTTATTATTTAATATTATTTATTAAGAGTATAAATAAGTTTCCGCCTTTTTGAGAGAGATGGCATGGCACGAGGCTTACGTTAGAATTCGCAGATGATAACCGGCTTGAAAATTAGGTTGCTCATTCAAGAGCAGCATAACCCTATCATATTATTAACTTCGTATTAGCATCATATATTTTTTTTTATCTAAAAATGTCTAAATTTGAGCCAAATAAGCGTCATTTGAGGGAACTTTTAATTTACTTCTTTAATTTAAAAAAATCTGCAGCTGAGGCACATCGATTGCTCGTAGAAGCATATAATGAGGCTGCCTTGAGTGAGAGAACATGTCGTGAGTGGTATCAAAAGTTCAAAAACGGTGATTTTGACGTAAAAGACAAAAATCGCAGTGGAAGGCCAAAAATTTACGAGGATGCAGAATTGGAGGAATTATTGGAGGAAGATTCGTCTCAAACACAAAAGGAACTTGCACTTACTTTAGAAGTCACTCAGCAAGCAGTCTCACATCGTTTAAAATCGTTAGGAATGATTCATAAACAAGGTAATTGAGTTCCATACGAATTAAAGCCGAGAGATGTTGAAAGCCGATTATGCATGAGTGAAATGCTGCTAGCTAGGCACAAAAAAAAGGTTTTTTACATCGAATCCTCACTGGTGATGAAAAATGGATACATTATGATAATCCAAAAAGAAGAAAATCATGGGGACTACCTGGCCACGCGTCAACATTCATAGCAAAACCGAATATTCATGGAAAAAAACTCATGCTGTGTATTTGGTGGGATCAGTTGGGTGTGGTGTATTACGACTTGCTTAATCCAAGCGAAACAATCACTGGAACTCTCTACCGAACACAATTGATGAGATTGAGCTGAGCTCTGAAGGAAAAATGCCCTCAATACTACTCCAGACGACAAAATTATTCTTCTACATGATAATGCTCCTTCGCATGTAGCGGTTCCGAAGAAAAACTATTTGAAAACACTTGATTGGGAAGTACTACCCCACCTGCTGTATTCACCAGACATTGCGCCGTCCGACTATCATCTGTTCCGGTCAATGGCACATGCTTTGTCGGAGCAGCGGTTCACATCATATGAAGATACCAAAAATTGGGTTGATTTGTGGATAGCCTCAAAAGATAAGGAGTTCTTTAGACATGGAATCCGAACGCTGCCTGAAAGATGGGAAAAAGTAGTTGCTAGTGATGGACAATACTTCAATTAAATTTAAACTACCGTTCTTTTACAATAAATATTATTTTTTTGACAAAAAACGGCGGAAACTTATTTGTACTCCTAATATTAATTATAATTATTAATATTTATTAATTATAATTAATAATATTATTAATTATATATGTATTAGTAATATAATATAAATAAATACAAGAGTTCGCATGGCTCAGTGAGGCAACACACCATCCAGTAATGTCCATCCAGTAATTGTATGTTCCCGAGTTCAAATTATCCCGCCCCTTTAAAAAAAAAATAAATTAAAAAAAAAGAAAAAAAAAGAAAAAAGAAATTAAAAAAAAAATTAAAAATAGAATTAAAAATTTTTTAAATTATATGTATGTCACTTTAACATCACATTTATGTTCATTATGTTACGTTACATTGTTACGTAAGTGAGTGTGAAATTGTGAGTCACATGTGACCCGTATGTTATTTTACGGTTTACGTAACCTAAAGTTTTTGGTTCTGTAAATGTGATGTCTCGGTTACATTGGTGTGTTCACTGGGTATATAGTTTTAGATTTAATTGTATTTTCGATTGAATAATTTAGCGAGATGAGAGACAGTCGATAATTAACATTTCTCTTTTGAGATAGTTATTATCGTAAAAGTACAGTTTTTTAAGTGTAATAAATATAGAATTATTTTAATTGTTATAAAAAGATTTCCTTTATTATATTAAATATAGATAATATTTAAAGACATTATATTTAAATAATATTATATTTAATTAATAAATATATAAAAATATCTATTTTCTGAAAGTTCAATATATTCTTATGATTAGATCGTATTTAAAACAATCTATGAATATGAAAAAGTGGGTTATAATATCTTCTTTCTAACAATAAATCCACGGAGAATACATACCAGGAGTCCGAACGTAATATTGAAAGAACGGTATCAATTTAGGGGACAGATATTTTGCCGGTAGGGCGCGCTGCTTTTCACAGGAGTACTCGTTTAAATACTTACGCGGGAAGTCTTGTTGCTATTGACAGCTCTGAAAAAAAATATTTTAAGAAACGTGGAATTAATATTATTTAAAAACTACACAAATGTAATAATCAATTATTTGTTAACATAAAATTTTTAATATTATTTTGAGGTTACTTACTTTTGGTGCTTTGAATAAAGCCACTTTTCCTAAATTCTCACTTGCCTTTCGGCCACTAAGGCAACCATAAACGGCACAACACTTTCCCATTTTTTAATAAAAATAATTCTAAAAAAATAAATTATTTAATTTAATTTATATTTACATTCACGAGCCAGGTTAACCAGTCCGTATTTACGTGTAATAATAATAATAGCACCGGCCGACATGATTTTCCTTGTCCAAGATATAATTAATTTTTTCCATTAATTTTGTAGTGCTGATTACGAAATCAGACCTAATTTTATCGTATCACATCAAATTTTTAGTAAAATTAATATATTCGCTATTTTTAATTTTATTTTATTTTCTTTTTTTTATCCTGGAGAATGGAGACTTTTTATAGATTCTTCGAAACGGAGTTTAAAAGGTGTTCTTTTAGACAATACTAATCAGTATGCTTCTGTTCCTGTCGCTCACTCTGTTCATTTAAAAGAGATTTATGAAAATTTGGAAACAGTACTAGATAAAATTAAATATGAAGAACACGGTTGGCAGCTTTGTGGAGATCTGAAAATTATAACTATGCTGTTAGGTCAGCAGTCAGGATACACGAAATATCCTTGTTTTTTGTGTGAGTGGGACATTAGAACACGAGAAAAGCATTACGTTCAGAAACAATGGAATCCTCGTAAAAATCTCAAACCTGTAACCAAAAATGTTATATAAGAAAATTTAATTGATCCTCTGTGTCTGTGTGTGTGTGTGTGTGTGAAAAAATTGTATTACCTCCGCTTCATATTAAACTCGGTATAACGAAACAGTTGGTTAAGGCATTAGATAAAAAAAATGATAGTTTTAAATACTTGAGTAGAAAATTTCCAAAATTATCAGATGCCAAAATAAAATAAGGAGTGTTCGATGGACCACAAATTAGATCTTTGATGACCGATGAAAAATTTAATGCAACACTGAATACTACTGAATTAGAAGCTTAGCTGGCGTTCAAAGATGTTGTCAACAATTTTTTAGGAAATCACAAACATCCTGACTATAAAAATATAGTGGCAAACTTATTAAATAAGTATAAAAAATTGGGGTGTAATATGAGTATAAAACTCCATTTTTTACATTCACATGTGGATTTTTTCCCTGATAATCTTGGTGATTATAGTGAAGAACAGGGAAAAAGGTTTCACCAAGACATAAAAACTATGGAAACAAGGTACCAAGGTCGATGGAATGTGAATATGATAGCTGATTACTGCTGGTCAATAAAACGTGATATTATTGATGATTCTCATAAAAAATTACACCCAGACGTAATTTTATCGCTAAACATAAAAGATGTCACCCAAAATAGCCCTGTAGCAATTATTGTACTTGATATTTTCTTTGTAAGTTTTCAAATATATATATTTGAGTATAATAATTGATTTTTTCTTAAAATTTTAAAATAAACGTTTTTTCCTTTTTGTAAAAAAACCTGATGTGATAGAGTAATTTTATGTAAGTATTTTTGTGTTCAAAATACTATAAATTAGTGATATTTTTCACTCAAATCAAAACAACGTTCAAAAAGTTTTCATTTGTCGGCCGGTGTAGTATCGGTACGTTCTGAATACTTGCGCAGCCAGTGGCAAAAAAAAGAACTATAATCTGGGTCAAGAATTGAGTACCACAAATAATGTGAAAAATCCTATACCATTCGGACTCCTGGTATCTATCCTCCGTGAATAAATTCATTGAGAGGTTATCGATGCATTGATATCGTTAATCGATAATAAAAGGATAATATCTTTGACTGACTTTAAGGGATAGATATCATTTAACGTTAATTTTTCATTGAAAAAAAATTACTCTGATGTTGACATAGTTTCGCAGGGACGAGTGTTAGGAGGAGACTTTCTTCATGATAACTTAAAATTTTTGTGCGACTTTACTCGCATCGGTGTGTGGAGTAACGGCCGTTGGTAGTAAGAGATATAAAAAAAGAAAAGAAAAAAGACAAACAAGAAAAAAAAAGAAACAAAATATCGTAAGTATCAGGATGGTAACCTAGAAAACTTTTTTTTCATATTTACATTTTTATTTCTCTAATCTTTCCTTTTTTTCTTTTTTTGTTTTCAATTAGAAAAGTATGGCAAAACTAGGCGTTTGTCCGTGCGGATGCAACGTATTACAATCACATTGTATCTTACATTCACCGAGCGAGCCATGCTGTTGCTGCAGTTATGATCCTTTCAATGATAATTCGAAGGAGTCGGAGATTCGTGATCTTTCGTTTGCCCTTAAAAAGCTAGCAGTGATGCGCTGTCAAACGAAGAAATGGCGGATGGAGAGACTTCAGCTCGAAAGCGAAACTAGGTCTCTGAAACAAGCCCTACAATCATTCGGTACCAACATATCTTGAGTGCTGCTGTGTTAAATAAAGATATACATATATCCGGGGCAGAGGAGGGGGTGATTTTACATATGAAAGTAAGTCGAAAATAAGGAGTAGTATTTTATTTTAAATTATTCTTGAAAATGGTTGATTGATTTCCTTGAAAATAAAAAGCTTAAACGAATAATATGTTATTCCTTTTTTTTATTCGACTTATGAGATATCGTAGAATCAATCCCCTCCCCCCTCCAGCGTCATAATCCATTTGTCCAATTGAACCAACCACTTTGTTTTCTACTTTATTCAAATTAGTTATTATTTTAGAAATTGTTTAAAATTTATTTTACTTTCAATTGTGAATCTTTTTTTTTTAAAGTAATTGCTGAAATTTTTCTTTTTTTTTTTTCATTAATACTTTGTTCATGCTTATCTCGGTCATGAAGTTTTGTTATTGCATCTGTATTATTTACTATGATTTGAGGTATCGGTTTTTTGCTTCGTACATATCTTAATTCCAGTGATATAAGACAGATAAAGCGAAATTTGAAACAAAACAAAAAGAAAATACGTTAGATTCGGTTGAAGTAATTTCTCAACGTTTTGTAGGTGTTGATACGAACGTAGCGTTAAAATCCGATCCCATGATCGTGCATTATCGCCAAGAGAACGAAAGACTGCAAAATGCAAATGAAGAGCTCGAGGAAAAGCTGAAAGATCTCGAGGAGAGTCTTGCCGAACGTGAGTGTTGGGAAGATCCTGAAGAGGAGGTTATACATGTCAGGGAGAAGATGAAAACGTTGAAAGAACGTTTCCTTGCTGAAAAGAAAGAGTAATTTATCGTTAAATTAATTATGTTAATTCTTTAACATTCGGACTAATAAAATGCTTAATCTTTCGCCGATTTTATTACATATGACAATAAATATCTATACATATTATTTATATATATTATTACATTATTATTATTATAAACGAGCTTATTCGATTTGCCAAATCGATTAATTTCACAGAACAAAAAATAGAGAAAATTAAAACAATTACTTACATTGCCATGTCGTTTATCGGTCATATTAATTTTTCTTATGTGTGTGTAGTTGTTTTAAATTTATATTATTAAGAACATTTTCTTTTAATGAAAAAAGTTTATCACCTATCGAATGAATCAACATTAAAATTTTCTTTAATTTTCAAAATGAAATTAATTGCTGCGAACGACTTATCTATTATTATTATTATTATTTTATTATTTCTCTCCGATTTTTGGGATATCAGCGTATCAGACAGGACTCTTGCCAGGTCTGACTGCTTTAATCTCCTGAATTTAAGAAGGCTCTGGTTATGATCATGTTTTTAATATAACCGCCTTTTGAATTTCTTGATGTATATTTGGGTCTAGTTGTAATTGTATGAGATGTGGTTTAAAATTGTTCGGTGTAATGCTGTTGCAGATATGATGAAAGGAATGATGTGCACTTTTTTTTGTTTCCATATTCTGTGTATTTCTTGTGCAAGTGGTGTGCATTTTTCTATTTTTTCTCTGTATTTCTGTGTGATGTTGATGTCGTTTGGTACTGAGATATCTATTAGGTATGTTGTCTTCTCTTCTTTGTTTGTAAATGTGATGTCAGGTCTGTTGTATTTTACTGTTTTGTCTGTGTGTAATGTTGTGTTCCAGTATAGTTTGTACTTTTCGCTATMTATTATTGTTGTTGGTGTGTATTTATAGTATGGTGTGTAGTGTTCTCCAGTTTGTATTTGTTCATTATTGCTTTATGTATGATTTTTGCTGCCGTGTTGTGTCTTTCCGTGTATTCGATGTTCGCTAGTATTTTACAATCTCCTGTTATGTGTTCTATTGTTTCGACTACTAATTTACATTTCCGGCATTTGTCATCTTGTATGTTTATGTCTTTTACTATGTATTTGAGGTAATTTTTTGTTGAGATTACCTGATCTTGGATTGCGATTAGGAATCCTTTGGTTTTTGGGAAGAGGTTTCCTTTTTTAGCCATTTGTATGTGTCGTTTTTGTTTATATTTTCGTCTATAGTGATGTAGTAGTGTTTTCCGTGTAATTGTTTTGTGGCCCATGCGTTTATTTTGCTTTGTGTATGGTCTATGTCGTTATAGTTATCTATGTCTGTATTGCTTGTTGATAAGTTTAGTGGTGTGTAATTTTTGTCGGCTTTCGTTACTGCTTCATGTAGTTGTGTTTGTTTTGTGTGGAAGTAGTTGCGGAGTTTTTTTATTTGTCTATAGTGTAATGCTTTTATGTCCGTTACTCCCCTTCCACCTTCTCCTCTACTTATTGTTAATCTGTCTACACATGATTTCGGGTGTAGTTTAGTGACTTTGTCAGGTGTATTCTCGTTATTCTATTGGTGTCATCTAGGTCTGTGTTTGACCAATTGATGATTCCAAAGGAATATGTAAGGACTGATATTGCGTATGTGTTTATTGCTTTGACAATAACAATTTGCAAATTTTTTGAATTTAATTTGGTTTTAAGTATTTTTGTGAGTCTTTGTTTGTATTGTTTTTGTAAGTATTTGTTAATTTCTGTATGGTTTATCTTAGTATTTTGTTCAAAGCCGAGGTATTTGTATGTTTCGTGCTTTTCTAAGTTTTGTAGTGTCTCGTTCTGTAATGTTTTTTGTGTATCGTCTGTAATCCATTGTCCCCTTTCAATATGTATTGTCCTGCATTTGTCTATTCCAAATTGTATTTTTATGTCAGATGTGAAATTTTCTGTGATTTTTAGAAGTGTATTTAATTGTGTTCCTGTTTCTGCATATAGTTTTATGTCATCTACATACATTAAATGGTTTAT